TATGGAGTGACGTCAGAGTTGCCTATCATGTTGTTTAATGTCATTGCTCACACCAATGACATTAAACAACATGATGCGCAACTCCGGCATTTTTGGCCGAAGATCGTATCCGATAGCACGCTCCAATGCACATACTTGACGAGACGAAAACGAGCGAATGTGTGCTGCTTTCAAGGCATAGCACGAATGGTGTTCGTGCCTGCTTTGACAGTTGTTGTCGATTTTAATGATATATTGGAAAATTGAAGGTAAAAAGAAATCGGAAAAAAGTAAGGTAAATACTATTGTTGTATATCACACTCGGGCATCGCACTGTTAAGTACATGTGGGAAAGCCAGCTTTTGTCAAATACTACGAAGTTATTAAATCAGTACGGTACGTAGTTGCCCATTTGCCGAAATTGCTTATTTACTTACCCCTTATGGTTTCAAATAGTTCATACACGTCCATTTCGATTTTTTTAATCAGTGAGGATATATACTCATTGCTGTAACATACTATTGCTCATTCACTTTTATTTGCGTATTGAATCAAAGGGTTAACAAGTTCACCTAACATTTCACTCATACCGGTCTATATTGTATAGTCTGATCTCTCAAGTATTTGGAGCCACCGATGCTTGTAATTTTCTGACTAAACCCCTTTATTAGTTGGTTTATATACCAAATTCAGTAAAACATTTTTTACATAAAACATGAGATATTGGATTTATTAGCTTTTCCAATCTAAATCATATAGACTGCTTTATTTATTCTTAACGAAAATTATTGAATCTCCTCTCTTTCTTCAGATGTGAAAGTTTTGAAAAAACCTGTCTAAGCATTGTGGGACTCCTACAGCACAAGAGGCAATAGCAAAAATAGTAAGTATATCAATCAAGAAATTAAGCCGACATAAAGCAAAACTTTTAACTATTCGTCCAACCTCAATTTCCTAATATTTTATCACAGGACAACTGTAGCAGAAGGGGATATTTCAGAAGTCTGGCGACATATCAGTGACAGTGTGATTCCAAGAAATACAATCAGAATACTCCATAAATGTTTGCAATAGAAGAACAACCTATGGAGGCATGCTAAGACATTTGAACCTCCGGTAGAGTTGTGTATGGCCCCTACATCCCGCAGGGCTTGAGGAAAATAACTAAAAATTCCGAAGCGTAAGATTGCATAAGCGGTCTTCTTTGTAAAAAGGCACAAAACATGCCAGACATACTTAAAACAGCTTTGGAAAATGAGGATTATGGGTCACTCACTACACCTGTGTTATATTTGATTCATCAACTTTTGGTAGTACTAAAGAAGAAATTCAGGAAAGGGTATAATCGTGATTCATGATAAAATACTGTTATATATTTTGGACAACTTCAATCTAGACCAGGGATATCAAACTCGCGGCCTCAGAGAACTTCCAGTGAGGCCCTCGAACGCTTAACAATAATTGTAATAGTATTTTGGAGTTTTTTTTTTATCTAGGTGTAATAGATTTTTCAACCTTTTTAAAGTGAAATTGAATATTCACACAGAACGCAATTTACTGAAAGTAGTTTTGGAAAATTAATTTTTTTTGTTCACATTTTGACCCAATTAAGAATACACATCAAGCTAGCAAAAGAATACTTGAATAAAACACTTGAGTGAATAAATTAAACGCAAAGTACATAAAGAAGGTGGCATTTTCGAAGAAAATGGGAGTTGCAATATTTCTGCATTTCACAAAATTTTGAAGCACATTGTTTAATTTGTCATATTTCCATCAGTACAATGAAAAACACATTAAGCTCAGCAGTCAATATGACAATTTTGAAGACCAACTTCGAACAGAAAATTTCCATGTGTTTGTATATTAATATAAATATACAACGACTTAAGTTACTAAAAATCAATATCAATAATAATTCAAGCAATCCTATGCTATGCAATGTGGCGCGAAATGTCTTGTCGAAAATATCTGTCATTTGTTTTTCTACTGATCTATTCATGAAATGATAAAAGTAACTTTTTTGCATTACTGGAATTAATTAAACATTCGCAAAGTTCCAGATTAACCCATGATCATGTGACCTCGTTAGTTAGAGTTGGTACCATAAAATCATTTCAGCCTGGCCTTAGTATGCTGGTGACACAAAGAGATGCCAAACGTCAGGACAAATGTAATTAAAAAAACATTGAGTTTATACTGTAGTATTTTTGTTAATTTTAAGTCCATATATTTAGATTAAGTCATTTTTAGTGTATGTATTATTCTTTCCTTATCCAAAGCTTGTTCAAAAATGATTTTGATGGTTGTATAAAGAATTTTATGATTTTTTGTAATAAATACAGTAACTTGCAATAATAGTGGAATGCAAGATTAATATGTAATTGCATTTGAAATTAAAGAAAATAATAAAACTTGGTCAACTGTTTTGTTGCATCACAATATATGTCACAAACTAAAACTTTCTGAAAAACATATCTTTCAAGTATACATTATCAAAAAGTGTTTTCGGCCCTTTTTACAATTTCCAAAATGCAATGCGGCTCTCGAAAAACCCATGCGTTTGACACCACTGATCTATTCTAGACAATTCAAGCATTGCTTTGGGAAATAATATCACTTCAATTAAATTGAAAAAAATCTCGCTACATAAATACAAAATCGTTGCTATCATAAAGGTAAACCAATTCAGCCACTCGGAATATATTGGCCTTCACAAAGCAATGGAGGCAAAATTGAGAGTTCGTGAGCTATGAACTTTTGTTCTTTTCTTTGTCTTGAACTTTTCATACTCCACAGCCCCTATTGATATTTTTTTAATTTTAATTACCATGTGATGGTCATACATATCTTTAACTTGTATTTTCTGTCATGATGTATTATCTCAATGAGTCAAACCGTAGTAGTATATATTTACGGTCAAACTTTTAATTAGTGTGCATATTTTGCTTCCAGAAGACATAAATGTACAGTATTGTCTTGTTTATTACCTCAGCTTGGAGTATTGACAAGAAAAAGATGCCCGTAAAACTCTTTGTTATAATCAGAATTCACAATTAATAGGAATCATAAACAGCCAACATTCAATGAGAATTATATGCCAAATCCCTCAGAATAAATTTGTCTTCTAAAATCGGAAGAAGGCAAAACATATAGGTAGTTTCCATTCATACATGTCTTTCAAGAAGACTTACTCGAGCCAAACTAAATGAGCATCGTCAGATGATCGGTAAGGCTGCAAGTTGAATCAGCCCTGCAACCTCCCGCATAGAAGATATTAATTAGTGGGCTATGAACTAAATTCCTACATTTAGACACAAACCTATCTACGAGGCATTATGTACCAGCAATGTTACCTACGGTTAACTAAATATGTAATTATGTCTAATAAATTAACCTACTAAAGCAAGTTCGATAGGTGCAAACTAGTGTTATGGAATTGTATCACAGCGCCGTTAAGAGAAGTAAAAACAGTTTTGCTGTTTTGTATGACACTCTCTTTAAATGAAATTTCAATGTTTAAGCACAAACATTAAAATTACTAACTTTGAACTTTGTCATTATCTGCAAAATGTTCCACAAAATCTTTACGCTATCGCGTTTGTAATCTTCTCTGATAAAAAAAAACGTCTATGATGTCCAGAATTACTCTTTACAGCTTGTCTGCCATTCCAGCTTTCCAAGTGAGCAAAACTTCTTAGATATAGAGATTATTTTCTTTCGTTACAGGCGCAAAAAGGCAGGCACTACACGTAAAGAAGACGCCGGGTAGCAAAAGCGAGCGGAAAACGGTCGCGAAAGGCGACGAGAAATATGTGCATTGGAGCGTATCATGAAATACAATCTTTCGCATGTAGTCTTATGGAGTGACGTCAGAGTTGCCTATCATGTTGTTTAATGTCATTGCTCACACATACAGTATATACTGTATTTTATTTCCATTTAATGCACATATGGGCCAGGAGCCTTGGTGACCTAACCGGTCTTGCATACTGACCCTCACAAATGATGATCAACCAATTATTGTTATTGAAATATTTACTGTTTATTTAAATCTATCATAGTGTTGACTTTGTTTGTGATAATAAAATCTCTCTTCTCTCTATCCGTCTCTCACAACACGATGTATAACGTCAGACTTGCTTTTTCTGACGTCCAATTGCGTCATAATGACCACCATTACTTTGCTGATGTTTCTGTTGTTCTTAAGTGTGTGTGTCTGGTTTTGTCTATCTAATTTCGACGTGTAGGCGTTTTTAGGCGTTGTTTTCATTATTATATATCGTATACTTTAATATGAACGTTCACGTGTTGCACAAAATCATTTTCGCTCGCAACGCTCCGACGGGCGCTTTGTCTAATCGTCGAGAAAGCGAGAGTATAGTTGACATTGACAAGGTCACGCCGCTTGTCAGTGGTTCAGTGTTTATTCCTCTCCAGCTCTTGTAGCGCGAAGAAGGCAGAAGGGAGTGATTGGATTTACTGTTTCATCGACCAGAATAAGACAGTCACCTGTTAAATAAATCACAACTTACCGGTACCCGTAATATTGCGTTTTGGCGTTACATTGAATAAGTAGCCGAAAATGAATATTAAAAGCCATGAAATGGTGTCTCAGATTTTTGGATTTTCCTTCTTATGAAAGTGAAATAGACTTAAGATGAGTTATCAAAATATTTTGCACGTCATAGCTAAGCATTATTTTCAATCAGACTTAACTAAATGAAAAAAGTCTGTCGGCATGATTAGTGTTCAAAATCAGCTGAACATGTGATAAGCAGCCCGAAAGTTCAAACATTGTACAGTCTGACAGTTGTAATTTGTGAAAGTTATGTTATGGTATGTAAAAATAACTAATATCTGAATATATATGTAATGATCTCATTTTTAGCCTGGTGTAGCCTAGTTATATGTAACTAGTCTAAAGCTAATGAACTACTGAACTAAGAAAAATGACAGAATGATGCAGCGTTGGGGCTTATGACACTGCAGAGGACTGCTTATATTCTAACTATTCATAACTAAGCTTGAATTGTATTGGAATATTATTCCGCCATGTTTTCAGTGGTGGCATATGGAAGAGTATTTGCAAGAGCGATTGCTAACACACTCGCACAAGGCGATTTAGATTATCTTCCAATTGTGTCATCCTGGCCTATGCGATTCACTTCACGATTTTTTACTCCGCAGCCATCAATCGGTAAGTTACTTTATATGGTTGTTGTGTCTAGTTGAATTTGTCATACGGAAGATGGAGAAAGGGCAACACTAATCATTGAAAGCTTTTTAATTGATAACCAAATGTCGTTCAAAATTTTTTCCGGCTTGTGATGAAATGTAGACAAATTTATACATGTTATTTTGTTACCAAACAGCGGGCTCGTTTAGCATGGTCTATCTAACAGTAAATCCAACCAATTGGGATTATTTTTGGTGTTCAAAATTATGTAAAAACTACTCATTCATTTCTTATACCTATTGAAACATTATTTTGTCATTTCACTTACTAACTGTGCAAAACTATATGGTTTGGAATTCATCAAAAAAAATATCCTCTCTATTTATGAGTAGAAGAAATTGTAAAGCAAAGACCAAGCTCTCGGAAGGTTTATTGCTATTGTTTAAACTGTCCCGGATAAATAAAAAACTCCACAAATTTAATGTAAATTGTATTTAATTTCAGCCAATGTAAACAAACCTTATCCATGTCACCTGGTATCAGCTGTTTGCGGATTTTCAAAACTAGATTCTCCAACTAGAAATATAAGTCCGGCGTCAAAACCTGCCAGTGCTGCTTTATTAGATAAAAGATTATATGGAGACGATGCCTGCTTTGTTGCGAAACATAACTCAACTGATGTATTAGGTAAGAAAAATCCAAGTGATTGATGACATTATCTAACTATGCTTGTGTCACTGGTTAATTGAATATCTTAGATTCAAGCTCTTTACTCACGCATTCACATCTGGGGTGTAGGGACAGGAAAGGGTTTTCATATTTATCTTGGTAAAGAGGAATGCTGATAATATGACTTATGGTGAACCAGAGCCTATCGTCCAGTTCAAGTCCATTTCGGATATGGAAATGGGTATTTATTTCAGATGAATGGACTTGGTAATGGAGGAAGCTGTAACCGGCAACCGGTCCTCTTGCATATAATTAACTCTCATGGCCCACGGGATACGAACCTGCACAGGATAATCATATGCGTGATGACAAGTGAGCACTTAACGCTTGGCACAATGTGCCAACAACAGAGCTCATCAAATTGGAGCATTTCAAAAACAGGTAGCTGTTTCGGTGGGGCCTTTTTCCGCGTAATGCATATTGATGAAAGTTTGATGTCAGATGTCTTTATTTATTTTTTATTTGATTCACTGTGAATGCCTAATAAGATTATTGAAAATAATATAATTTATATAAATATATTTTTCACAGGTGTAGCAGATGGTGTTGGTGGATGGAGAGCATATGGTGTTGACCCTTCTATGTTTTCTCGAAAATTGATGGAAACTTGTGAAACTTTGGTTAGAATGGGTAAATTTGTGCCAAGCGATCCTGTTGATTTATTAGCAATGGGATTTCAAGAGATGTCTGAAAACAAAGTCAATTTAGTAGGTATGTTGAAATTAGGTTTTATTTATTTTTAACCATCATCAGTTTTTATTCTTTTATGGCGCGATATTAATATTTAGAAGATATTTTTTTTCATTTTTTGGTCGCAATCATACTGTAAAATTTAAATGCTCCATTTTTCTCTTACCATCGACTGTTTTTAGTTTGTCTGCTCATGGCACGTCTGCATGTCGTCCACCATCAACAACAGCTATTCCATTTATCTTATTATGTTTGCTTAGGTAGCTTCACTTTGGGGTTTTTGTAGTACACTGGTTCTTCATTACATAAAAAGTCCTATCATATCACGAAATATGCTTTTATTAGGCAGTTCATCAATAAACATGCTTTTCAGAATAAAATCTATAACTTTAATTTTCTACTTTATTGAGCTCAAAGATCAGTAAACACTTGACCATTGAAAAATAATTTAATTCAATAGAAAGTGCTATAATTTAATTTATATGGAAGCTTTAGATTAGTTGTTGCATGTAAATGTAGGTTTCGAAAATTCATCATCGATCGAAGTATAATCAATCAATATATTAGTCATGCTGGTGATAGTTAATTATAGCATGTACCTTGTACCGGTAATGACATGATTTCTCACAAGACAAGTGTTTCACTGTATTGTATACAAAACATGAATTTTTAGAGAGTATTAGAAAATTACAACTCAGTTTTTAAGAATTATTTTTGTTTGCATTTCTTTTCTTGGAATTGCACAATATGGGATTGAATATTCATATCCATCCATGTTTACCATTGGCTCAAAACTCAAAACCATTCCAAATACGTTATTTATCACAAACACAAACAATGATTTGCTACAGAAATAATTTCTCATTGTTCGAAACATCGCAACTCATTCATCTTACTTGCAGAAGTGTTTTTGACAGTTCAGCATAAGATGAAAGAAGGTACCCTTCATTGGCAATTACTTTGTTAGAAAATAATATGAAAGCATAGGTTTCGAATTGAACAAAGATTTTCAACACATAGGATTGAAAATATGAATGGATAGAACTCTATCCAATATAAGGGTGTATGTGTATATTCCTCAATGTGCTGTTTATCTCATTGCTGGAAATAAGACCAACATAGGGACCTCATGGAAGCTCTGATTACCCACCAAATTACCTTTAATGCTACAGTGATTTTCACTATTTTTTAATTAATTCCTCATATACTACCATGTGGGCATCTGTTCCTTTTTGAATACCAATCTAATACCATATGCCAGATCCTATTGTTATTTTACGCCTGAATTCTAATGATTTGGCTGCAATTTAATGGATTGAGATTAAATTGATTTAATATGCTCATTGTAGCATGCTTTACTTATATTAGCACCTCCCCCTAATGTTCTTTCTCAAGACAAAATAGCATTTTATTGAACATATATGATTATATGGTGCCACTGGTATATGATTTCACCTGCTTGAAAGTTGATCTCAATCGCATAAAGACATTCCCATAGAATTCATTTCCTAACCGTAACTAAAATCACCGTGATCGCATACCAAAGTAGTACCGATGTAATTTTACATCACAATTGTATGTAAATTATTTTATATTGAAATGTTAAATAAAAAATGCATGTGATGAATTGGATATTTAAATGCATTCAAAATTAATTATAGGTAGTATAATCAATATACTTCTCATATAACTTCAAATTAGTGTAGAAAATTTTGAACCAACCAACCAATGCATCCTTAACTTTTCCTACATAAAAATCCTGTCTTATAAATATGTAATGATATCTGTGATAATAATAATATGCTAGTTCTCTTAAGAATAAGTCCTATTTAAAGTATTCATTAGAAATCTTATACTTGAAATTCTCGAATGACTTTAAATATCTTTTATTTATTAACTCTGTCGGTGTTATGGCCTCTTATATATATCTCTGTGTTTTCTTGTTGTCTGGTATATGTATATTGCGCATGCAGATAATCGAATTTTCGAAATTAAACTTGTGCTGTTGTAACTTGAAGTTGAAGCTTCATAAATATTGAATGTGAATATGTACTGGTACTTGAACATTGCCTGCTGTGAATTCCAATTCTTATTACATTATATAATATGTACCGATAAACCTTAAATAAAATCTCAATCAACTACTCAATCTATTGTAATGCTGTGTGTAGATGTAAGTAATGTGATGTGACAAAGGAATGTCCAAATAATGAATATTGCGCTATTTTGAATACATTCTGAAAAAATATTTTCAAATATGGAATATCGAATGCATTCTGAATCAAGGGCAAGTTCATAAATCACTATATCTTCATGTTGAACACATCTAAAACGACGCAAATATAAGGTCATCTTTTTTTCTGTGTTGTTGTTACCAGTTGAGATATTGCATGTTTTGATCTGCTTGTCTGACGGCTTAAAATTATTAATTTTAAACAAAATTGTTTTAAAAATGTTCCTAATTTAAAAAGTTACTATATTGAATTTATGAATTTCGAATGTCTTCAGATATTCAATTCGTTTTGAATATCCCTGGTATTTAACATCATATACACAATTTAAAATAAATTAGCCATAGGCCTATTTAAAATCAGTTTATATGCATATTTATTGATCATATTGACATCGTCCATATACAGGTAGCAGTACGGCTTGTATAGTTATGTTGGATCGCTTGAAGAAAACGCTCCACGCAGCAAATCTCGGAGATTCAGGATTCATGGTTGTTAGGAAAGGGAAAATTATTCATCGATCAACTGAACAACAACATTTTTTTAATTCTCCTTTCCAACTTTCTATTCCGCCTGTTGATAGAAGGGGAGAGGTCCATAGTGATATGTGAGTTTGGGGGCATTTTTGCCTGATTTTCATTTTTAAAAGTTATCTCTGGTATTGGATTCAGTGGTCTAATCATATATATTATTTTTATTGGTCAATGGCAAAATATATCTTAGTCGCAAGTTCTGTTGCGAAATGCCAACAAATGAAAATAAATGAATAAATGCATTATGGTCAAACAATTAAACAAATTGCTGTCAATTAACTTAAATTACTCTATTTGTCAGACAACTTTTGACAATGATTTTGTTTACATGTATAACACCAAAGTATGATCACGAGTGGAACAAAATTTTAAATTAATGTAGCCATCACAAATGGCATCTAGCGAAGTACCTTCGTTTGACTCTATACCCATTCATACTAATATTGTTTATTGTTTTGTTTTGTAAGGTCGAGTTACTATAATATATTGCTTTTTGTTTGTCTGTATTCATAATAGCAGAACACTTGGCTAGTTTTTAAATTCATTTTCTTAGAATCGTCTAGGCATCTTTTAATTAAAAAAATTAAACAAAACTTGTGAATATTTCAGCGACCATTATTTGTGTTTACATTCATTTTTTAGGCCTGAAGATGCCGCAGTATCAAGCTTTCAAATTGAACTAGGAGATATAATTTTAACAGCCACTGACGGTCTATTCGATAATATGGATGATCATCTTATACTAAGAGAATTATCCAGCATGAGGGTGAGAGTTTGAGAATTCTTGAAAATTGATCTAAAAATAATAGGTTGTATCTTGTGTGAAATTTCTCTAATATGGATTGCAAGTTGTATTTACTGCCAGGGATCGCAGAGGCGTAGTGAGAAAAAAATTAAAATTGCTCTTATTCGAAACATTCAATGCAAACTACTTTTTTATTGTCTCTTTTGTCCAGCTAATCGGAAAAATGGGCCAATGTGTTATTACTTCGTATTTTGCTGTAAGAGGGAACTGATGGCTAGTGTTCCAGTGACATTTTATTTTTTATTGCCATTTTATGCACAATTATGACCATTTCCAATAATATGTTCTTTACAATATCTAAAAGCAATCTGATATCTATCAATCTTTATTCCGCAGGATTTTAAATATGAAACTCTCAAGAACACGGCAACAAAAATCGCAAAACAAGCACACAAACTTTCGTTCGACCCTGATTATTTATCACCATTTGCGAAACAAGCCAAGGAAAATGGTTATGACGTCACAGGTACGCATACGACTCGTGTGTAATATTGTACTTTCCTGCACGAGGCATGTCTTATCTATGGATCATGCTCGATTATAAAAAATTGCTTAAAAGTAAAACCAGGAAGTGATTAGTCATTTCATATTGAAAGAAATATGTGGGACTTTGATGTCCTATTATTATGATATAGAGATAGATGTATGAGTAATATTGATTAATATGTTCCTCGTCATAAATATCATATTACCGGTGTTTAAGCCGGCTAAAATATGATCATGTATCTTTCAACTGAAATGTCATATCATTCTAGCCATGTAATGCAGTTTGAACTCAAGTAGGCTGTTATTAAGTTACCTACCGGTAACCTAAATTTGTGCTTTTAGTAATTATGACTGTAGTCCATATTATTTCGGATACTTTTTATTATTAATACTTAACTAACTAATACTGATCTAACCAAAAAAATATTTGTTTCATTATGTCGACATAACAGATTGGTTATTTAGGGTTCAAGTGCTATTGTCCATCTCAAGATTATAACTTCGTTTTGAGTGAATGAAATTGATTGCACTAATTTGGCCAAATTTCCAAACCAAGTAGTATAGATCTCTATGTAGTAATGGTTGATATTCAAGAACCATGAATTAAACTTGTAATGATTTACTTGATGATTGCTTCACTTCCTGCTTCCTGGAAAATGACCTCTATTCTCCATTATTTGAATTTATTTTTCTTTTTTTAGGTGGAAAGCCGGATGATATCACAGTATTATTGTCATTGGTAAGTGGGGGCTGATGAGTTGCAATATATTAATTGAAAATGGATGTTGCACCCAAAATGCGGATTTTTTTCTACCAAACTTGAAGCCCTCTTTGCATCTGATCAATGTTCCAGTGAAGATTATACTGAAAATAGAGTTGTACTAGTAGCAAGATATTTAAATAAGTAGACAATCTTGATATAAATTGGCAGCCAATGAATTTCAGTCCATGCATCTTAAACAAATAACTGGCTAACTAATCTCATACCCGATATGGACTGATAACTGGACAAGATGTCGTGGTTCGCCATATTCAAGTCGTCTTATCGCCTTTCCTCTGTCTGGGATAAATATGTAAATCCTATCTTATTCAAGTCGTAATGGACATAATAAATTCCAAAAATCTGTCTATTACTAGTAAATATAAACAATGAACACAAGAAAAAAAGCAGTCTGCTTAAAACAAAATGTGGCCCATTCTGACCTATACAACAATAGGCATTTTGACGAAAAGTTTTTGGTACTTATCTAATCTCAAGTATAGACCAAGCTGGGTAGTTATTTTACTGTCACTGTGATTTACTTTACATTCTCTCAATGTTTGCTTTACTTTGTAACATAACTAACTCATTGAAGATATTGTCAGTCGATGATGGTTTTCGAGTTTTTTTTTTTGTCTGTTGATTTTAACCAAGCACTAACCTGTAAACCAAATTCCAAATAACTTATCTTAGTGTAATATACTAAGAATAGGTGACTGAAGATTTATTTTTGTCCCGAGAATGCACCCCTAGCAGTACGTTCTCCAGCTTTTCATTTTAGGGGGGTGTTTCCAAATTTAAGGGGTGGTACATATTTTGTTATTAGTAATAAAACTATGTGTTATGCATTGGACTGATAATCTGTACCGGCACATAGCCATTTTCTGAATATCCAGATATGATTTTACTAGTTAAGAATTAGTATTACGTTAAGTGTAGTGTCATACCTCAAAATTATGGGGCTCACCCCCTATAAGGAAGGGGTGTAGAGAGGTCACTGTTTCCTATTCTCTATCATATAGCAGCAACCAATTTTCAACGAAAAAGAATTTCTTTGTGTGATGTTACAAGTTTGCTAATTTGTGTAGTTTTGGCTTTGTACTTAATGTCAGTTAACAATATTATTTTCAAAAGTGATTGCTATGTGAAATCTTTGTGGTATTACTGTCCAATTCTGGTATAATGGTGGTTACACACACTGTATACAGACAATTGTGTATGCGCATATCCTTACAGTATGCTGCCAATAATATACCGAAATCCTCAGTTTTATCAAGTGAAACCTATCAAGGTGTTTGTTGAAACGGTATCTTTGCCAAGAGTTGTAACCAATAACAGACTTTGCTGGTCTTGTAGCTCCAAAAACATGATTGGGTCCGCTGACTTTTAAACATTGTGAACCTCCTGAATCCAAAACCAGTTTCTTCCATGGAGTGTGTTCTTAACATGTGTAATGTAGCATTAAAACTACAACATTTCGTGGTTGGATAAGTTTTTTTCCACATTGATTCGACTTGTTTAGTAAATATAACTATTATCTGCTATCTTTGCTTAAGTGTTTTTTTTTTAATTCGTTTGTGTTTGATTATTGGAGGATATTTTGACGTCTCCACTAGTGTACATTGTGTCCAATCTTGAGAATGTAACAGTTAGATTTTTATAACAAGAGTTGTAACTTTTTTGAATCCCATTGCAGGGGGTTTGACATTACTTCGAAAAAGGGTTTTGTGACCGGATCTTCAAAAATGCCCATTCAGTAAATGCCGCTTTTTTGTAACCTCCATTCTTTAAGCAAAACCTAATTCAAAAGTTGCAGAGCTTATTTCTCCTTCTGTTATCCTTCAATCATGTCATACCTTTACCGGATTCTTGCGGACTTGATTTTCCTTTATTTATATTGTTAATAAAATTTGTACAACACTTCTAAGTTCATTGCTATTAATAGTTCTGACGGGTCATACCATATCAGTATCGTCCCGACCGCATCCTTGGCTGTGGAAAAGAGGTGAAATTCAAAGTGCCGTTCAAGTGTGGAGTTGAGTGATAAAATGCCAGGGTTAAGCGCTTCGTATAAAATTTGCGAGGAAGCCGAGTGCTAATGGGCCCATTTGATGACTTGCCTGAAGGCAGTGTCTGCTAAAAACAATGCTCCACACAAAAGACGCCTCAAATAGGGAGGATGACATGAATGTGCTTTCAGTAGTTTCACATACAGATGATGAGAGTCCTGGTTTATAAGAGTGAGTCACCATTTGCAATCTAGACCAATTGTCAATAGTTTTATTCTGTTTTAATTATATGAAGCTCGTGGAACCTCCCACTCTTTCAGTGGGCCTTTGGTTGCGCCTTACAGTGTTAGACAGTCCAATGCACTCAAATTGTCAAACAATATAGCATACCAGCAAGAATCTAGCGTGTATGACAGTGATTTGAAGGTGGAGAAAAGGCATAATGAAAAGCTATGGCCTTTATTAATCGATGAATGCAGCATACACATTGCAATATATATTACAAGGTTCCATTACATTTGAATCCACGTACATTTGAACCCATGACAATTGCACCTGCATACTATTGCAACTATGGAATTTTTTTTTGTTTTATGGATATTTGAACCCATACTCACCCTAACCCATGGGTTTTAGCACCCGAATATAGATTGAACCCGCGGATTTACGCATGGGTTCAAATGTACGGTCACCATATTACAATCATACAAATTACCATGCAAGAAGTGTCCGCAACAGCTATCGTACATCAGAAGTCAAAATTGAATCATATATTGTTATTTTTCAAAATTGGGAGTAAATATACACGCATAAAGGATAAAATATAAACATTGTCACACAATAGATATGGCACTTGGCATGACTAATATCAAGAAATGTTCACACAGTTGAGATTTAAGAATCGGATTCTTAAAACTGTTATTTCCAAAATTCACTCATGAATTAGTACAGTAATGTCCACAAAACGTAAAGACAAGTTAAAAGTCTGAAATATGACAAGCTTAGCTGGCAAATTAAAACATGCAAAAAGTTCGTCAAATTTGCTGTTAAGGAAATTTAATCAATAGCACTGTCATAACAATAAGACTATGTACAGATGTATCTCGTATAACACATTTTCTGGTTTTGTTGGGCATTCACGGTCACAACAGCCTCTCTAGCAAAGTTGCTAATGTCTAATTCCATACGACATGCTGCTATTTCAGTGAATGAATGAGACAAAACTGCAGAATGATAATACAGTAATACAAATGCCGAATTTTCAATATTCTGATCCTAAATTTCTTTTAAATTAGTTACGTAAATAAGTTTTATATAGATCACGTCTAAAACCACTCAACCAAATAAGAATAGTGATAAAACTGTTAATATATTAACAAATATGAGAGGAACTCTCATTACTGTCCGAACCGATCTTATGAAATTTAAAAGTTGAGTTTTTATTCCTGGCTCTTCACCGAATCCACCGATGCTTTGGTCCGTTCCCCATCCCATTTTCGCTAAAAATCTTTCCTCGTGCAGAACAGCGACGGCGTTGAGAATAGTATAAATGCTTCTATCAGGGAATAGAATCCAAATCCCATTGTGCTTCAAGATAATCACAAAATACCAGGAAATAGGCGACAAAATAGAAACTGCCGACACGAAAAGCAAGAAGGCAAATACAGCAACTGGCAACGTCACATATGCTCCTCCGATCATTCGTGCATATCACACCGGAATAAGCGGACCGTTTACATTAAACATTTTGGACAAATTTACATTTATGATTCAAATTATTTTATAAAAAAATGTTTATAACATAAGTAAATATTTTATTATTCTAATCCGAATACATGGGTAATTATGAATTAATCACATTGTTTACATATAAACGAATCAGTCGTTTACTACAAAATCAAAACAACGAGCTACAGAAGAAGCGCAAAGTGATATTTCGGGTCCTATTATAATATTTTACCGTATTTGTTCGAGTTATAGAAACGGATTTCATTGAAGAAACGAATTCATAAAAGTCAAGAAGTATGGAAGAATTCTCTCGCCTAAAAAGTATGTATCAAAAACTAGCTGATTTAAGATTGAACGGTGACTTCTGTGATGTTAACTTGGAGGTGAGAGGGAAAAAGTTTTTTGGTCATAAAGTTGTTCTTGCTGCATGCAGTAGATATTTTGAAGCAATGTTTTTAACGAGTATGCACGAAAAAAATCAGTATTCAATTTCTTTGTATGACATATGTCCAGACGTTTTTAGTGAGTTGTTGGATTTTTCTTATGGAAAAACTCTTGAAATTGATTCCAAAACTGTGGAAGATATTGTCATTGCAGCAGATATGTTGCAATTTACAGATGCAATTGAAATTTGTGTAAGGTTCATGAAAAGTCAACTAGATTGCACAAATTGTACTGGAATATACTGCTTTGCAAAGCAGCATGCTTTTAAAGATTTAGAAAAAACTGCCTGGGAGTTTATGCAGAGTCATTTTTATCAAATAATTTCAGAAGACGAGTTTTTAAATCTACCATTTGATGTTCTAACAAATCTTGTCAAAAGTGAACACATTGCAATTGAGTCTGAACTTGATGTTATGTGCTGTGTTATTAGATGGATTTCACATGATGTTCATCAAAGAAGAAAACATTGTGTCTCACTTCTAAAGAATGTAAGAATTAATCTTATACCTTCAAAAGAAATCGATAATATTCTTTATTCAATTTCTGATATTTGTTTGAAAATTGCTGTAAAAGTTTTAACTGGTGGTGGTAAATCATTTGGTGGAAAATCCGGTTCATCAGAATCATTCCATCAAAAGTTTGACCCAGATAAATCATTTGAGCCAAGACAGAGTGCGAAAAAAGGATTCTATGCTATTGGTGGATGCGTCCCAAAAAGCAGTCGTCGATATACTTGGGAAGCGAATAGTATGGATGCGGTCTCATTTATTGAACGATTTGATTCTTTTAGTCAAACTTGGGATCCGTATCCATTATCTCTGCGTGAAGCAAGAACTAATCTTGCAGCCGTTGCTGTAAATGGTAAAATTTATTCAATTGGGGGAGAAAGAGATTCTATGATATATGGGAGCATGGAATGCTTTGATACCTTGTTAAAACAATGGAAATGGGATCTTCCATCTCTTTGCGTTCCAAGATGCTCTTGCCAAGCTGTTGCAACTGACACTGATATATATATAATAGGTGGGTTTGTCGGAACGGGAGCTGGAAACTCTATTGAACGCTATAATATAGAAACAAATGCATGTGAAATCGTGAACTTTACAATGCAAACTGAAAGACACAGTTTTGGTGCTGTTTGTGTTGATAATGTTATTTATATGGCGGGTGGAGTTGGACTCTCAGAATGTGAAATGAGAACTGTTGAATGCTATGATTTAGATAGACATGAATGGTGGTTTGCTAACGATATGACATTCAAAAGAGCATATTTTAATTTGGTGTTTTTAAAAGGTTTCATTTATGCAATCGGTGGACATAATGATATCCAAGGAACTCTAAAATCAGTTGAAATGTATGATAGGTTTAAAAATGCATGGAAATTGTGTTCACCAATGAAACAAGCTAGAGCTGGTGCTTTTGTCTCTGTTATGGATCAAAAAATTGTTGTTGTTGGAGGGAAAGTGAAGTCTCAGAATCTTGATGGAGAAGCGATTTGGGATGTTTTGCATACTGCTGAAATATATGACCCTAAAACTAACACATGGAATTCTATGGATAGGTGTAATTTTGATGCTAGATGTGATGGTGTAGCTTTAGTTGTGTGATATTTTTATTTGATACTATTATAAGTAACTAGCAGGAATTTACAAACTGATTGATTGCTCCCACATCTCTAGAGACTTGTCCATCAAGCTAACACTATTAAAACCTCATCAGGTTTTCATCAACTATGATTAATTAAGAATTTGTTCAAGAAGAACAGTATTATCATCGGGTACAGTGGTTCCCTGAACTATTGCAATATTTTTATTTGGTCAAGTCTCCCAATCACTCTATTTATTGCATTGCATTTTACTTGGATTTCCGCTTTTCATTGTTTATTTGTCTCATTTTATTGATCAATACTTCGCTCATTATCATGTTTTTTCGCCATTGAATCAAATGAAATATTCGATCATTGTGATGAAAACAAAGCCACAGTAGATTAGATGGTGAATGGTTGGAATGACTTTAATTTTTCAAATACTAAAATGGCCTGAATCGAAGTCTACAAAATGGCATTACCACAGCCAGGTGGGTCCGAACCCCGGATCCATTAACTCTTACAGTCTGACTTGGCAGTTACAAATTTCAGAACACCCCGCCTGGCTACGACCCTAACCACAGCCTTCCACAATTATCTTTGGATTGGCGCTGAAGATTCTCGTTTGTAGGACCTTTTACTTGAGCCTGTCTTCGAGAGTTGGTATCTTTATCCCAGTTCTCTCATGTGTCAAAATGTTCCATAATATATTTATTTATATATTTCATCCATCGATGTTCCCACTGTGCTTTTATTGTTGTGCAATCTTTGAAAACCACTGTAGAGTGTTGAATACAGCAAAATCACTTAAAAGCATGCTGCATTGTAGCAACTGAGTTTTATTTCAGAGTCAAATTCCCCTCCCCCCGGGATGAATATGTAAATTTCTATTCCAAACCAGGTTGCCCAAACTCTCTGTTCATCATACCCTTTGGACAATGTAAGATTCGCTTCTGTACCCCCAAATTGTACAACGTGCTGTGATTGGACAAAATAAGTCATTTAAATTACGGAAGTAAACTATGTAGTTATAGTTAACTTCTAATGAGGTGAAATTGAGACTTTGCAAGTTCTTAAACTCAGGTCTGTCAAATTATTAACATCGGGAGATAAAAAATTTTCAGGACAGATTAGAAGCTAAGAGAGAATATATATATTATACTTAATCCAATGTACACGAGGGAGTACTGTAACAAATTTTCAATTGTTACTTTGCAAATTATCGAATACGCAAAGACAATGAGATCATCGATATTCCACGAAATCTATGCCGTTCCAATCTATTTTACAATACATTTGACCCTAATTACGGCGCCGATACCTTGGTATAAATTGGATGGAATGGGAATAATAATAATCTTGTTCAACCAATATTTCTTCTATCAAAAATGAAACGAACTAGTTTCTGATTGGTCGAAAATAAACCTTCTTTCCGGAAAAGTAATAAATTAAGATAGAGGATTTATCCACAAAACGGAAAAATCTCAAAAACTTTTAAATACAATAACTAAACGCCAAATAGAAAGGAAGGTATGGGTAACAACACGCGACAATCCCATTTTCTACACTTTGATTGTTTGTTCAATTATCGTGTGTTTATTTAATTAAACGGAACAATAAAATATTAAAAGATTTTTAGATGTTTAGCTGTTATATCAAATTAACAGGATTCCCAATCGAACACGTATAACTTCTGATTAATATATTGACTCATACAGTATCGGAGTCTAGATTCTAGGAGTCTAATATCATGACTAATGTAGAAAACTATAACTAACAGATAAGTACAAGTTTATTAGTCAACAGATAGAAGTTAACTCATAGTCGCAGCAATTTTACGTTACAGTACCTTATATAATTTTCAATATACCATTCGAAAATGAGAACCGCTATAGCTATTTAAAATTCATGGGGGTTTCGGATACGCAGGATGCTGTGGCCTAAAAGAATGGAAACCGATGCTAGCTCCTTTTGCACATAACCGTTCCATTGAAATTATAACGCCTGTTCCCCGTACATATTAAACCTCAAGCGATGGCTATTTGTTTCGAGCGCATAATGCCGATATCGATTGACAACTATAAAAGTATATAGATATATATAACCTTTAGGTCACAAACTTTTTAAGCCCAGCCCCCTCTTAGAATTTGTCAATTCTCGCGCCCTGCCTCAAAAATAACTAGCTACCAATAAACTACAGATAACAGATACTAAGGCGAAAGGATGTTTTAATTGAAAAAACGCTGAAAATATGTAAATGGAACGTGAATAACCAGAATAAAGAAATGTAAATATTGAAAATAGGGCAGCAAAATCAAATCCAACAAATATTTTTAATTAGCTTCGCGAGCTTATATTGTATATGTAAAGCAAGTAAAACAAGGCCCGACAGAAACCGCAAATGAGGAAAGGCAATAAAATGAGTCAATCATATCGGCGAACCACGGACTCCTTCAAAGGGAGTAACGTATGCCGTTTTCATTCACCCGTCCAGGCTCGTTTATCAGAATGCATTCTTAAGGACTTCACTCAGTACACAGCTAAACAAACATATCGCGTTTCTGCCCAAAATTACACGACTTCAAGAGTAGACGCTTGTAAGAGATATGTTTGCGGTATGCGTGTATTGGTTTTGTAGTTCGAGGAAGTGTAATTGGCCGTGGACCTGTTTTCACGCATTGCGGGCAATTTTTCGAATGTAAAGTCTGGGTCTATCCCAGATACATATATTTTACCATATGAGAACATTGTGCTCTTAATATGGAAGTGGGGACAATTTACAACTTGGGTCTAAGGTTGGGCTCTTGTGCCAAGAACTGACACATTTCTCAAGTGATTCATGGGACCGCCGCAAATGCAATAAAAATGTGAGATTTGAGAAAAACAACTCCGTCATCTTTAAAGTACAGTACTGCAGAATGCGCTTGTCGCGTTTTAAGTAATTGCGCGTATGCTAATTCTGACATCGCTGAATTCCGTTAATGAATAAAAATTGTAACTGGATAATTACTATTTGTGAGAGGGGTCGGGGTGCTTTTTTGACGTGGGCTTCGTTAAGATCCGATTGATATAAGCCTTCTACTCGATATCAATTTCATTCTTAAATATATATATGTCAAGTTCGAACTCCATTTGCTTTGCAAGCTTATTTTGAAATGTTTTTAGATATTCCGCTTGTTTTGGGACATTTTTTTGTATATTTAATATATTAGCAAATGTTAGCATACGTATATATATATGTATATAACATTATATATGAAATGAAAATTATTCTACGAAAATTAAATCAAATACATAGACCAGGGTGGTCCAAAGTTAACGGCTCCGGGGGCCACAATAGTGCCAAGAATAGGTAAATAGTGCAATACAAAACACTTTCATTGTGCAAACACATCTTCCAACTTTGCTAGTTGCCTTAGCCAGCCATAACACTAGTCCATTGAGTGACATCAGTGATGTAACAATATGTCAAAAGATTTTTCTGGTTAATTTTATGACAAAACAACACCAAATGCGATTTTTTGTTACGATCCGAATGCGACGCGGACTACAAATTATGAAGCTGAGACTACATTCGTTTTGGTATGTTAGTTTCCAAGGTCTCAAATTCATTAACTTCTTATAGTTATTGCTTATTTTTTGTTAAATTCCCCTCTTTGCATCTTTTGAAACTCTTTATTCGTTCCTTCTCATTCATAATCAATCTTTAATTAATGGATCATTTGCTATGGTCACAAAATGCTAGTGTCGCACTCGCCCTTTCGTACAGTTTAAAGTAGTCTGCTATGTTTTCAAGTATGAGAAAAAAAATAAAGAATATTAGTAACACTACAGTAAATACAAAGCAAAATTCTTCTCCAAAAACGAAAAAAATTACTTACCAACAAGGAATTCCTTCTCGGTCTAGAAACGTGGCGTTAGATCAATACATGTTACATAAGTTTGGTTGGTTGATGGACAGCCCGAGATAACAAATACCCGCTGCTTCTGAAATATGTAATGCTGATATCTTGATCGTTATAAAATGAGGCGTATAATATATGCGGTTTTTCGATTTGTCACATCAAAATATACGATTCGTTAATCTATTTTTGCGACATCGCTTTTCTCATCCAATATTGGACCAATCGCTTTGAAATTTTCATCGGTTAAGTATTGCATTTTTCAATTGAAGGCTATTACTTATATTTGTTCCCAAATATTCTATTTGATTCTAGATTTGATATTTCATATAAAATTCCGCTGTTCTGTTTTTATTATTTTGTAAACTGATGTTCTTTGAGCTGTTATATCAGCTTATTGTAAACAGCTCATTGCTCAATGACAACTATTTAAAATTACGTAGGCTACTTTATTATAAAAAAATATTCCAAAAAGGCTTTGTAGGTAGATATGAATACGATGTCTTACCAGAGCCAAACCTCATCTTCTATTCGCGTTGAGAAACACAATTGTGACCTCGATCACTTTGAAAAACATGAAAATGAATTTGTTCATGTCACCTTCCATCACTTTGTCAAAAAATTATGATCTCACTTTTCATGAGTACCTGTCTAATAAAACATATGGTGGTCACTAAATTGGCGTTATCTGGCGGATGTGTCAGATAACAGATGAACTTGACGGTCATGAAACGACACGATCAAAACCTCAAGATCCACGACAAGTCAAAATATGATAAATACATCTTAGATAAAAGGTTTTCAAATAAATTGAGCCACGGAATCAGTAATTTCAAAATAATATTAATTTCCAGAAGGATAGTAGGCTCAGGGACGTAGCGAGGAATTTTAAAACGGGGTTTGTAAAATTAGACCCTAACAGCTCGCTTATCCTATCTTAGGCCAAAAAACGTTAGTTTTCAAGTGTCAAAAAGAGTGACCGTACATTTGAACCCACGTACATTTGCACCCGTATATCCGCGGGTTCAATCTATATGAGGGTGCTAAATTCCATGGGTTAGGGTTAGTATGGGTTCAAATATCCGTAAAAAAAAATTTCATAGGTGCAGTAGTATGCAGGTGTAATTGTCGTGGGTTCAAATGTAATGGAACCCTAATAAGTGTCCCAAGCTACGAAAATTGTTCTGTACGATACAGAAAAATGCTTTTTTTTCACATTTCAAAAGGGTGTCTTCCGACCCGCACACGTCTAGTTACGCCCCTGATGTAGGCTATGGTAAACATGCTTGCCTTAGGGTGATGAATCAAATCAATTGCGGCTTTTAAATCAGTTTGGACTTGAAAGGCAAGTGTTTGGACATTACGAATAGTACAGAAAAATGTACTGATATCGTCTGGACAAAGTCCAACCAAATGGACACATGGCGGAATGTAGATTGAAACAGCGTAAATATGATATGGTAAATATGAGCGTTGTTTTTGGTAGTTTGCAACAACTTTTCAAATGATTGACAGAATTTACGATAACTGTAAAACGTGATTAATTTATTAAATACCTGGAAATATATACTTATCTCGGTGATATGCATATTAAAAGTACAAAATTTCACGCCTATATTACTTTGTTTTTAATGGTAATTTGCATGTCCTAATCGATTTTGAAATCAGCGAGGTTCCACATAATGGTTTTACGCTACTTGAAATTTTGAACAATCTCTCCTCAACTGGTTTATTATCCTATTTTACGCGCCTTTTTTCCCCACAAAACATCGATGAACGGTTTACGATAACTTACATCAACCGTTGGCATGGGAAAAAAGAATCGCTTCGTAGTGAGATGAGTGACATCAAATAACAAGTTCCCGTGAAATGAGACTGATTGGTTACAAAGGCTTATAAGAGTGTCTTTGGCGGTGGATAATGGTGGTGCCGCATTAGCAAAATGAAGGCGATAAACTGTGGGTTGTATATATTGCTAGTTTCAATTATATTTATTCTACTACTTGAGTCTGAAGTGTCTCACGGAGGGAAGATAAAGAGACATAAGACAAAAAAAGCATTAACACAGTCAAAAAATGTTGAGAAGTCTTCAGCAGATACGCAAACCAGTTCAAAGATTAAAAAGGCAACTGAGCGTAAACGTAGAGTGTTACCCGCCTCGCAAAAAGCAAGTGCTAAAAATTCAAATCTGCACAAACACAAAGGTCGGAAAATAAAACATAAAAATCACAAAAAGAATTTGAAATTCCAAACTTTAGCTAACGAACCGACGGCATTAGCAACTACTGTACCTCCACAAATAGACGAGGAGCTAAAAACTGAAGAAAAATCGACCCAAAATATCGCCGCGTTTGTAAATGATGAAGCAGTCGTTCCTGGATGGATCCCTCATGTCGCAAAGCGAAAATGTGGAACATGTTTTTGGCAGGAATGTCCTACCATTGATGTAATGAAACGTCACTGCCCTTCTGGTATTGTTCGGGATCAATGTAACTGCTGTGCTCAGTGCGCGAGTGGTGTTGGAATGCCGTGCTACATGACTTCATTTGCCCCTATTTGGCTGCCGCCGTGCGGCGACGACTTGGAATGCATCCCGGCTTATGGCGAAGCGGACTTTGACGACGAAAACCAAACTCCTTCGTGGGGCAGTAACAGAAATTCTGAAGGTATGTCTGATATCCGACTGTACACCTATATTGTAACGTAACTGGCAGTATTAGAACGTCTTCTGATATATATACCACGAATCATTTACGCTCGTCCTCTTTAATTTCTAAACATTGAAGATTATAAAATGATAATAGTACTTCATGGTTCCCGTACATTTGAACCCGCGACAATTGCACCTGCATACTATTGTACCTATGGAATTTGTTTTGCGGATATTTGAACCCATACTAATCCTAAGCCATGGGTTTTAGCACCCGCATATATATAGATTGTACCCGCGGATATACACATTGGTTCAAATGTATACGTGGGTTCAAATGTACGGTCACCGTACTTCATGACTGATATCAGTAAGTATGCTATTTACGTGACGATATGATTGTCATGATTTTTACGCATGGGTCGTATCTTGAAATGTACGCCACTTATCTCTGGGTGGCGGAAATATGGTCCGTTACGCACAATCGACAATTCCTTTGGGGATTTCGTTAAGGTTTTGCTTTAAATGGTTGTATTTTTGTTTGCCAAAGTGCTCAAATGAGACAAAATTAGCCTAGCAAACAATTATGTACAAGATGGCAGTCTATCTAACATTATGAGTGAAAACAACAAAATAGGTATTTGCCGATTGGAAACCACCCAAATCCCTTAGGATAATCTCCCTTAGGACTCAATACAGACTAATCTGATATATCGTGGAATTGGTCTGATCCACAGTAAATCATTGTGTACACAAATTACTTCTAAATCTCAATTTGCAAATGAGTGCTATATTTTGTTTCTTTGTTCTCCGTCTTGTTGGCACAACGCATGTCGCACGTTACCGATAATTTATCCTAATCGCAAACAAGGAAGGTTAAAGTTCATGCGATGTATAAATAGTACAGTTCAATCGACGCCAGATAAAACAAAAAATCGAAATATTTCGTTGTTGAAGGAAAAGTTGAAAACATGGTGTGTAAATAAAGTGCTTTAATTGTGGACTCTCTCACACTCACGCCTTTATTCCAGTGGATGAGAAGTAACTGAAAGCAGTGCTGCTGGGCCTTGGTCTGGGGGATAATACCTTACCAGTTCCAAATATTTTAGCCAATTTATTAATGCAAAAGCAAGTCTTTTGCACAATTGAAGCGTGTTGTTTTGAATTAGATAAAAACTGGCAATACATTTCGAACCAAAACGCCAATCAAAAGGTTACAGTAAGAATAGAAAGTTGGATTTGTGCTAGAATTGACTGGTCTCGGGAAACATTTTTCGAAATGACCATTGCCCTTCCAGTACGTCGTTGTCTAGTAAATAAAGCGATAAACGTGATCACCCTATCAGAGGACCCAAACACTAACTTCCAAATCTATATTCTCTACGACGTACAGGTATTTGTTCCTGCACTGAACGAACTACCGTGTGTGGAAGCAACAATGCAACCTACGAAAATGTTTGTGAATTCAGAGAATCTGCTGCTAGATTGAAATCGCAAAAAATATCGATCAGTATTTCACACCCTGGTCCATGCAACACGGGTAAGTTTTGTTTAAAATTGGAACAAATAACATGGCTAAACATGGCTGCAAAGATTTTAAAATGGTAGTATTCGTAACGATATGTAACGATCATATTTTCTCGATCTTGAAATATGGATTATAAATGTGTCCAAATTCTACTTCTGTCTGTGATATTCCTTTCTCAATTTTTAAATCCGGTCAATATTACTATTATTGTCTGTTGTGCAAATAACCTAATCCCATAAAATACCAAAAAAGTTTAATTTGTTTACAATAGAGGGATAATCACTATTATAAATGCTAGAGTTAGTAATGTCAACCTTGAATGAATTTGTAATGCACAATCGTTAGATTTGTATTCAGTATTTCCCTTGTAATTTATTCTTTCAGTTCCGACAATTGATTCTGCACCGCAAAATACCGTTTCGCAAACGGGGGACGTCGTTTCATTTCGATGTGAAACGTCGGGATTCCCTCTGCCTAGAATCCAATGGTTTAAGACCAAGAAAGAGAAGCGAAAAACGGAAGAAATAGAACTTCCGGGATACCTAAATCACGCCGTTACGCAAGTGAGCTTCATTTTAAATCGTTTGATAGTTTAATCCAGTGATTCTCAACGGGCCGCGCCCAGCCGTTTGAGAACGACTGGTTCAACCAGATACTCGGTGATCCCAAATAAAAAAAATATAGGTCATTTGGAACTTGTGTAAAAAATGTTCTAGATTACTGAACCTTTTGAGTACGATTATAGCACAAACAACAGTTCAAGAGGTTAATAAATTTTTTTCATCTTCGTATAAGTAATTATGAAATTTTGGGGGCGCTCCAGAAGTATGTGTACCAATATGGAGATAACTATAAGTTTATTCGACTATTTTACATCAAGTTGTGTAAAAAGACTGAAACCTATGTGTAGGGGGATATTCACTTGGCTAACACAGGCAGTCACCAAACTCCTAATAGAACTAAAATAAGGGAAATAGGGATAAAATTATGACCCAACCCTAACCTGGAACACATACTACGGGAGTACCATTTTGGATTCTGTTTTTTTTTTTGGGGGGGTACCCTGTACATATAAGCAAGCGATACCACCTGCCTCGATCACGAGTACAAAACCCGCTGCCTGTAAGTCTTCAGGTATTGTTTTACTGCAATTGGTATATATATATATATATGGAAAATAAGAACAATATTCGGGGTACTAAAATGCTTTCTAACTTGGGTAATACTTGTTTCGATCAGACCGATTTGCTAAATTTTTATACCGAAGGTCATATAACAAAGCTCAAACTTTTCACTTTTCGGAAATATGATCCTGATGAGTCAATGTCTGCAATCTTGCGGTCACAAAAGTCGTGCGCCGAAAGTTTTAAGTGTTTAGCGTAATCCTATTTTAATATTTATTACATAAACATGTCATGAAATATGCCGACAAATGAAAATAAACGCAAAATTTTAATTTAAAGCAATGCTTTACTGTAGAATAATACAAAAATGACGGTTTTACTGATATTTTTGTGTAAATATATGCTTTTTATGCTTTCAGATGAGAGGCGGACCTGGGAAGTATCAGCTCACAACTTGGCTAACTTTGGATAAAGTTAGAGAAACTGACATCGGAGATTACATTTGCAGATCTACGAATGAATACGGGACAGCTGACGGTTCCGCTACCCTAACAATAAACAGACTGTGACGCTTTATGTCAACTTTGGAATAATTTAAAACCGTAATATTTCTGTGATCGGAGTGTCTAAATTTTTTTGTTATATATTAATTTTTGAGTCTGTTGTTCGCTGTTAGTACAACTGTGAAAAGATGGAAGAATCATTACACTCTCAAATTGAAGTTTGTATATTTAATACACGAGTTTGTATTTGAGGAAAAAATATTAAGAATCAAACACAAGAACAAAGCTTAAATATATGGACGCGAAGGCCGCGAATCTGAAAAATCAAATCTTTTCAAAATTTGAAAAATAGAAGTATTACCCATCTAGCGGATTCAACCATTGTAAGTACTGGTAATTTAATATAGATGTTGTGTACAACATATGTAGTGTAATGATATTGCTATTCGACCCCCCCCCCCCCCCCCCTCAAAATTAAAATAGGAATAAAATAAAAACATAAACGAATAAAATACTCAAATAAAAGACGATACGGACAGCGTCGCTAACAGCCTTAGTCCCATAGAAAATAATTTGTAGTAAATATGGTAAAAAATGATTGCAAACGACCCTAAACCTCCACTTTCATTTTCGAACTTTGCTTTCAAACTTTGCACAGTCATTTCCTACATGTTTCAAACTATCTCTTTGCGACGTTTCAATGTAAAACACTCAAATCAAAATTTCTTGAATAATTCAAAAGTTGCGGTTTTTTTAATATTTCCAAGTTTAAATTACGATCATGAACTCATTTCAAACGCAATTACTTAACATATGACACTCAAGGGCAATGCCACCTGCTGAGTGGCGAAGTAATTTGCATCATTGACATTCTCGTCCTTGATTGAAAACCATTTCCAGAAAAGTGCTCCTAAAATATCGAAAGATTTTTAATAATTATAACTTTTATAAAATACTTGAATCTTTGAATTTGTTTTTAAAGTTTTAAGTCTTTTTATTTGAATGTTTTATTTCGTTCACTTATTTTTGTCTTCCGAAGTGTAAAATATGACAACGCGACCTAAATAACATCAGGGTTTGAAACACAATACTTCACAAAAATATGTCCCGAATACTTTTGGAATTCGACCCTAGTAATATTCAGTATTGTGGTATAATTTCGTGTTACTTCGGGTCGCTGATAGGATGTGGTTATTACAGACACGTAAAATAGAAAACTTCTATTAAAACCGAAATTCATAATAATATTTGTGAAGCTAAAAAATTTCGACGAACGTCGTAGCTATCGTCCCAGCATATTTTGCCAATCTTATATTCTGTTTATTCAATTTTAGTGCCGCAGATTATATAATACAGTTCTTATGTATTATAAGAAATCCTTTCAAACTGCGATTATCATACTATCGAATTACCAACAACAATTTTCTTGGGAAAAATTGCAAACGATCAATCATCTGCTTAGATTTCAATCCATTTAAGCTGTGACGAAAGAGAGACCACCACCGTGTCAATGATATTTTACGTATTTAGGATTTTAAAAATTACATAGCAATATATATATAAGCTGATTTAGCTTTTACGATAGCGCTATTCGTACAATAAACTGACAACATAAAAATTATTTCATAGTTATGATAGTTATGGTTTTCTATTCAGCAACGATTTGAAATTTTGAAAAAAAATCAGTATTATGATAAAAATGTGAAATGTGCTCCTTGACGCCTTGGTCGTTTTGGTAAAAGCTCAATAAAATATAAAAAAAATTAATCACTAAAAAATGAAATTTTGTTGTCCGTTAGTGGGTACGCTTCAGGAATATATGATAAATAAAAGTTTGGGCTTGGCTTATGTGTTCAGATGCCACAATGTCAGTAATGATTGCAGTTCAAAACAATCTACGGTAAAAGTAAGCAACATGATATATGAATATATATTTATATTTTCATAATTGCACACAGTTAAAAATAACTACGCCATCTTTGTTAAGTCAAAGATAAAATCGTGTCAGAAAGGTGACAGACAATGCTGAAGTAATATCTTGTCGCATAATAATGTAGGCGCCGTTGCTCTTGACAAGATGTCATCATCACCTTGATGTGTGGGCGCGGGGTTCATTACCTATGAAAGGCATCAAAGACGTATTAAAAGCGAGACCAACTTACATATTCTCTATAAAGTGAACTGCAAAGTATCATCAGTAGATAAGTCATTCTGATTTAGGTTTTAAATATTTTGCATTTTTCAAAAACATACCTTATTCTCAATCGTCGTCTAGACATAATTGTCGCCAAACTGACGTGAACTAAAACATTAGCACTACCGTGACCAAGTTAGACAAACAAACCGATTGCTTTCCATTTGCCCTGAACAGCAATATTTTTCGTGTCATACCAGATCGGATGTTTTCTATCATCTGAAGTTGAAGTTTTGTAGTAAACCGCAACATCAACGACACATTACGAGTTGGCTACTTCAACTGCTTGTAAACTAACGTACAGTTGAATATATATGGAGGTAGTTAAGCGGACGGGTTTTGATGTGGCTGGCAACGTACAGTCAAATTTCGTTCGTTGGTAAGACGTGAAGATGACATTTGTATTTAGTATATATTCAGAGAATTTTGTCCTCTCGTGCATTTCGGATTATCCGCTATCCGCAAGTATGACTCCAGTAAATGAAAAATACGTTCATACCAAACTCTCGAAGATAGGTACCCCCTGACAAACAAGATGTTTTGAAATCGTAATTATAAGAAACTATTGTTTCTGCCTGTAATTTTTTAATATATATATATATCAAAAGTGCTCTCGATGCTCTTTCCAATAAATTATTAGTGATGGTGATTGGATTTTATTTTAAATGTCTATAGGGGTCCGAAGTTGTCAATGTCAAGTCTAAAAAAGATAGGCTTTCAAAATTACACATGTTGAAAAAGAATAACTCTTAGATGACATCAAATTTAGTCAGCCATCAATTTTCCATTTTCAATAGTCAATTTGGAGCAGAATATTAATGGTTTCGGTATATTCATAAAAGAATAATTTCTTTAATAGTAAATTGGTAGTTTGAATAAGCGGTTTAATTCTAAACGGTTTTAAAAGTATTTAATAGTCTTCAAATTGCCAGTTTTCGGACACAATTTGTTTTGTGTAAAGGTTGTAATTTGAAAATTATTCAAAGTCTCGGAAGTTTCTAATGGAAAAGTGCCAGGTGCACATTGAGGTTACGCTATGTGAAATTGTGCGTGGAATACCACGGCAAATTGCATGTGTCAACTTCAAGGATTAAACTGAGAAATCTGAAAAATGTCTGGAACATTTTTTATTTAATATAATAAAATTGAAAAAAAAAATATCCCAATTCAATTTATAGTACACCTGTGTTGGGGTAAATATAAATTCTCGTAATTACAATAAAATAAAATATATGTTGGGATTGTTATTATTTATTTAGAGTGAAATATTTAGGATTCTAAGCTTATAAGTCGTCTATAGCTGTCAGTCCCGGTTGTGTATGAATAGACCAAACCAGTTAATCATTGGATTGTAAACTTAGATTGTCGCTAAAACAGAAACCGACGAACCGTCCTTGCCCGCAGTTAATCCAAAAAGTAAAAATCCTACTCGATTTTATACATTTGAGGTTTTAAAGCAAACTTAAGTTACTTCATGAAATTGGTAAATTCCATTTCATCCTATATAGGATCTAAATTAGGTTTGGTATTGCCATAATATTTGGACATTATACTCACAATTTTTTCCATATCTTACCTTGAAATACAATACTATAACACCTGGAAGATCATTACGTCAAAAGTTTTGGGGTCAACTCAGGCCAACACGTATATGGAATTTCATAACAAAATCAAAATTCTCGGCGCAACTTAAAATCCCCGATCTTTTATCTTCCTTGAAGTTTGTCATGTGCTCTCTAAACCAGCTGTTCGCAAACTTCATACGCCGCGGACTGCTGAACGGCGACGAAATATTAAAATCATTGAAACATAAATAAGTTGTGCTATTTAATTGGGGTTTTACGGGACTTACTACTTCTCCGTCTTCTATTCTTTTACGCCGGTGGTTCCGTATGCTTATATTGCAAGGATGCTGTAGCAAGAGAAAAGATAAATATCCTAAGTGATTCAAGACTCTTGCTGCACACTAACACAAATATATTTCTGTAACGTTTCTTCTGAACAAGGTCAGATTTTCTCATATATATGGATCGTTTTGTTATTCAATCATTTTATTTCGGCATTCTGACATAAAACTGAACAACACAAAAAATAAACAGACAAACAAAATGCAGAGATACTTAAAGCATAGCTTAAAATAAAGTTGTCAAATGTACAAGTACGTGCCAACCCATAAAAAGTAATAATACAAGCGGACAAAAAAAGTGAACACGATTCAGAATCGGGCAAAACTTATAACGCAATTTAAAATGAGAAACACACATATTTGCTGAAAGGTTCTGTGGATAAATTACACGGAATTACTATATTTTTGTTCCTGTTGCTATATTTCTTCTTATGGGTAAAGATTGTATTTTTTTGCTAGAAGGCTAGTACTTTTCTTTCTTTCTCTGGGCTCTATGGCATTCATTACTTTTTGTGCGATGACGTCATAAAAAATTGGGCACATTGTGGCGGTTCCGTTCTTTTACACTATTTAATAATTATGCAGATACTGTTACATTATGCGGAAAATAAACATACATACATACTTTCTCGTCAGTCGAGCAGATTGCGGTACTGGTAGTCTACTATAAAAGACTGCATACCTGTACTACTTTGTTTTGAATTTCGTGTCCCTATATTTGAGCATTGCTCCCTTGCATTATATTATGATTTCCCAACACCAGATAAATATGATCTTCGTTGCCAGTTTATTCGTGATTGAAACTGTAGCTTTTAGTGACACACTATTTTTTAAATTTCGACTTGATGTGTTCAATTCAACGAAACCAGAATAACTTGCATGGAATTACAATTCAATTTTGACTAATTTCGTCTGATCTTTCCCTAATGCGCGCATCAACATTTTACCGATACTTATTATTATACCTATTATTATAACTTATTATTCATAATTTATTTGAACATCATACTTTATTGTTGATGCATCGCATTTGTACTGATAATGGAGTTAAAACTTACTGGTATGTATTATTTTTTTTTTTTTTTTTTTTTTTTTTTCTAAATAAAATTATATTGAAATAAACAATATCAGTAATACAGTCATGAAGAGTATCACAATGTTTGCATTCGCAATCTAATTATGTTATTAGAAAACTGAGAAAATCTGACATTATATGTATATACCATACAGGGGCAATCATTTAGCAAAAAAAATCTCACATTTTAGGTATATACCATATAAATATATAAATACATAAATAAAAATACATAAAGGGGCAATCATTTAGCAAAAAAAATCTTACATTTTAGGTATATACCATATAAGGGCAATCATATAGCAAATAGAATAATATTGAAATAACAATTTTTAATTCAGCAATACAGTTATAAAAGGTAATTTCTCACAATGTTTGCAATTGTAGTCTAATAATGTTATAAGAAAACAGCAACATATCACATTTTGTGTATTTAAGGAAAGAAAAACAATAATATGTAATTAAATAGCAAAAGTCACTTGATCGACTATTATATAAATAAATGCCACTTTCTTTTGTGTATCAGGATTTTACTATTTTTCATTGCTATATTTCGTGGCTATTGAATTTTTATGAAACTTTGGCGACATCTCGAGAACGTTGTGTAATTTGGAATTAATACATTTGTACAGGAAATACATGTATTTCAAATAATATGTTTATAAATTGTGGAAGTATGTACAAGTCAAGATATGATTTTCGATATTTTACTAATATCTGCCAAAGTGACTATATTTATGGACCTTTCCCCGACCTTTAACCCCTGGAAAATTCTTCCTATACTTTACCATTGCAAAATTTCCGAGGCTATTTTAGGAGTGCTTTTGCTAGTTGGCGCTTGTAAAATGGAGTAGGTGTTTTAAACCATCATTATGATTCATCGCATACAACGATTTGTTTTTTTAAAGTACCGGTAAAGAATTTCAGGCTAGTCTATCACAGCTATTTCTAAACTAATTTTTATTACTGCAATTTAATTAAAACTCCTAGGAAGACAGAGTGATCATTGAATTATCTGATTTATATTTAAGTTTCCGAAACACAACTGAAAACTAACGAATAGAGTTCAAAAACGCGAAAACGAGGTAATGTTTACAACTGCGCTTGAAAATCTGTCTGAGTGAGAAAAGTGTCTGAGCGAATGCGAAAAGGGGGCATTGTTACGTCACTTTTTGCATCTTGCTGATTAGCCAATGTCACAAAGTAAACAAGGAAGTCGATGCTCGGGGAAAGGTCCATTGTCACTTTGATATCTGCCGAAGAGGTACACATGTGATAGCACGAGTCACGTGATCACCCGATTGGCGCTTTTATTGCACATTGCAGTCACCGGCGGGCGTGTTTTCGCTTTTCTGGATTCGCTGAATGATTTCGATACTCGTGTCGGTAATATTATTATTCAGCATAAAGGTATTTTTATCGTGCCGTTCGCGAGGCATCGCTTAAAAGGATTTATTGTAGTTGAACTTCATTTTGGCGATATGATAAGTTGTAAGGCAATAAATTATACAAGTCAAAAAATGGCTCATCACCTGGACATTCACATTGCTCATCTGCTTTCCTGCTCCCGTTCGCTCACTAGATTTGATTGTTAAAACATTGCGAATCACAGACGGACAGGCGAAACCGTAATCCAGTCTGCCAGTAGTTTAATCTTGTAACCTACCGGTATTAAATTGAAATTCTGAAATTATTATCACCAGTCAACCACAGTGCTGACAGACTGGCCTGGAGAGCAGGAGGGTGGCTATGTAAGTGCATCATCAGACGCATGGAGATATATATTTTTAACATAGGCCTACAGTATTTTCTAAATAGTTATTTTAAGCAGTTATTCTTATTTTTGTTGCATATGGTAATTTGCAAATACTTTTTCCACAGTTTTATTGTGTATTCAGTATACAGGTATATGAATATAACACTGTTATACTGTTATAAGCTTGATACAGTGATAGGCCAATATTTGAATTTCACAAACTGTAGAATATTAATAAATTAACGTTAGATAGGCTAATTACAGAAGTGTGTAAGTTTTTTGTAGGATTTTTAATTTTTTCTTAAATCTTTGCTGAATTATTTTCATGTTCAATAAATCTGAAACTCGAAGCCAGAGGTTGACAATCTGGCAGTAACCATGACTGTATAAAAAACGTCCCTATGAATTATGATTATGAAATTATTTTTGGTTCAGCTGAAAGAAATAATAATTTATAATGATCACACCAATGCTGTAATTACCTCTTGAATCTTAATATGGTGATGAAAAAAAACATGGGTTACTGATCTAGCTTGCTATGAAAAGCTGTAAACATGGAAAGGAAAATTTGAGAAAAAATTTATTGTTTGTGTTTTTCAGTATTAGGCTGTTCCTACTTCGCAATCCTGCAGTCTTATTAAATATTATATAAAATATATTTTAATCAGAATCACAGCGTATTTTCAAAATTATTTTCAAAAAAGTTGATTTTAATGAATTCAAATTGAAATATTATTATTTTCTATTTAATTTCTGTATTACAATATGTTGACCAAATTTGGGGAACTGAAAAGTGCAGCACTAGCATAAAACTGTTAAGAATATGATTATTACTAAATATAAAACAATCCGTCGATGAGGGCTACTGAAATTTTGGGAAAACTTTTAATTGAAAAAATTAGGAAGTAAAAATAACACTTTTTGCACTGGTTTTTTGGTCGGAGTTTGAATCTATATTCACTTAAGTATTTTATAGAAAAGTTGTTTAAAAATTAGAATATCTGTTCGCCTCAATTTCACAAAACAGTTTTTTTTTCATTCAACTTGTATTTTAAATTGAGCTAGCCTACTTTTACACCATCGTACCATTTACTATTCTCATATCAATTCTCGTTGACTATATTCAAATAACGAATTTCATGCTATTTTTTTTAAAATTTTTATAAGGCAAGATAATGTCACCTACAAAAAATACAAATGAGTTGAACAATACCAAACCTAGTTTGGAATCTGAAAATGACAGCAGCCCAACTAAGAATTCTGCTCCTGTGATTGATAATTTGAATCAATCAAATATAAGCCCAAGACGATCAGGCAGGGTAAGAAAATCAAGAAAGTTTCATGATGATTTTCAGTCCACAAGTAACATCCATTTCAATATTGATGAATATTGGACGAGGATAAGCAAAGCCAAGAATGCGAAACCAGTCAAGGTGAGTCATATTGTATGTCTTCCAGAAATATTTTCACTTTAGTATGCTAAAATCTTCCATTTTTAGTTAATATATTATAACTTTTGTTACAAATGTTGATCATTTGAACTTTAATTCACTGTTTTATACCCCCGAGGCATTTCCTATTCTAACAGTTTTTTTTTATATTTCACTTATCAGAATCCTATTTTTACCTAGTCTTTCATCCTGACACCATTGACTTGGATTCGTTTTTTATTTCTCATGCCTGGTCATGTTCATCAAACTTTTTGGACTTGCAGATGGGTTCAATACTTTGATTGTATTGAAATTGTATATAAATTGGATCAATAGTCTTTCCCACTGGTTGCCTAACATTTTTGTTAAATTCCTTCCTTTGCCCTACTGGAAGTAGTGTACTTTATTTATTCAATATTTAACAAATCCTTTCTGTTACGCCAAAGTCACACTCGCTAATGTACAGTTTAAATAATTTATAATGTGTGCATAAATATAAGTAATATAGTAATAAAATAGAATTAAAGCTAAATAATATTGGTAATACTACAGAAACAGAATTTGCCCCTATGAATGGCCCCAAGAACGGCAGAATTTCTCTGAGGAAGAAATTCCACGTTACTTTTTTTAAGCAAGTTTTGGGCACAAAGTGTACATGTAAAATGGTTCATTTGCTAATTTTTTTTTTTGTCAAATCATTCTTTATTTTCAGTAAATTTTGTTTTCACAAAATCATCATTGGGATGAGAGTGTTTCATATATTGTTTGTCATGGAACTATTAATTATATACGAGATGTCATATTTAATATATATCGTTATTTATGTACAACGTATTGATGAGGAAGGTATCTATATCAAAATGAGTGCACAACTAAAATTTTAAAACAATTTTGAATTTGTATATTCATTCACTTTTCATTTATTCATTATCAATGCAACACACAATTTAATTCGTGAAACTCGACTGGCACACTGTTTATGAAAAACAATTCATTCATTGATTGGATTGCAAAAAATTTCAATTAATCACATTCAAAATATTCGTATTATCACAGAAAAAGTAAAGTATCGAGCTTGTTTAGGGCTAATATAAATATGAATGCATTAAAATTGATCAGGTTATTTTAAAATTTTTGATATGTTAATCCCTTTTTTTTTTAAATTGGACAACCAGCATAGCCTACCATGCCCCTCTGAATTTTGTACTGTATCATAACATAGAATGATGGATGTTTATAATTAGTTGCATTCCTAACTTCACTAGTAAACTACTATTTATTCATATTCTATATATCAGTGGAACCACAACCTTTTATGTTGAAATCCTCCTATTGAAACCTTTATTCCTCCCTATTCCTACTACTGTATATCCTCGCATATAGGCCGAGTTCAGAGCTCAAAAAAAAGTTGCTAAACTAAGGGGTCGGCTTATACACGCATAACTCTGATCGCATTAAAAGTTCGGCTTAATCCTGTTATGTCCAAGTCAAATGTGGCGACCTTCGAATAATGTTTTTTGTGTTATGAGAATTAGGGATGGGCAATATAGAATACCGAATCCGGAGGATTCGAATCCACAAGGATCCGATAACAGATTCTCATGAAGAACCCGCAAAATCGGTAAACATCAAATACGGTATTTTCGCCGAGATATTCATAACAAGACTACGGCAATAAACACATCACAGCGAAAAGTCGTTTTTGCACCATTTTTGCGTTTTCCGCTTTACTATCTAGTTAGCGTATAATAATAATTATTTGTGCCGACTCGTGACATTCCGATAAACTGACTGCAGCGACGTTTAATTTTTACAGGCGTGCCTTGCTTCAATTTACATTACCGTTAAATGATTTTCGCGAACTGTGAGTTTTCCCAAAAAATGCCAAGGTGTTAAATGTTACTTGCGATTAATTTAGATCAAACATTTTCAAATAATTTTATTATACTATTTTCCGGTATATCGCAAAACGCGAAAATCTGTCACATTTAAATTTCACTTTCAAAAGTAAACATATTTTCGGTCCGTTTTTATCGTTCAAGATAGACGCACGTTTGATCGAGTGTTTGCAGTATTTAAGTTGCCGATAAATTTAAAAAAAGTTGCCACATCTGGCGAAGATAGTGACGTGTTGAGTTTGAGTAGGGCTAAGTCTGGGTAGATAATGATATTTAACGATAATCATAGAAAATGAATTATTCTTTAGATGTTATATTACCTAACAACTAAGTACGAAATCGCGTTTACGGAAACTGTGTATTTCACGAGTCTTCCTCGCACAGAATGAAAAGTTGATTTCAATTAATAGTGGTTAAATTTAATAATTACAACGGCCGCATAGGTTGCAGGCAACACGCTAGTCCTGCATCTGATTAACTCTCAGCGTATATGTTTTGGTACACTCGGCAGACTAACATTATTAAACAAAAAAAGGATTTAACGCCGTTTCCTATATATTTTTGTATTTAGTCGTTTACTATTAAATTGTGTAAAGCGTGTCTTAATTTAGCATATCAGCACTTAGGGATTACATACATTTGGAACAATTGGAAGGCAAAAAATATTGTAATATTCTTAAATTTTATTGTCCTGGGAAATGCCTGTTTAGTATCAAATGAAATCCAATGTTCAGGACACTTTCAAATAAATAATACATTGATAGTAATACATTTACAATTTTTTGACATATAAATGTGGAAATTCCCACTATTTGAACAAGTATGAAAAATAGAATAGGATTCGGTATTCTGGGTTCGATTTAACTATTCTAGAATAGTAAATTATTCTATAGTGCCCATCCCTAATGAGAATATCAAATAACGAGCTCACATCCTTTATCCATCTATACTTATTCCTCCAGTCTGTGATAGATCATTAGCTAATGCTATGCCATGTCGCACTCCTCTTTTTTGTATAGTTCAAGTGGTTTATGATATGTTCATGAATATGCATTTTATTAATAATAATAAAAAACTAAAGAATGTTAGGAATACTACAGAAAATACGAAGCAAAATTCCTTACCCCGAAACGGTAAAATTCCTCCTTAATAAGGTGGAAATCCCAGTATGTTCCTATACACTCATTTCCTATTGGTCCGATTTCAATATTTCTTGTTCTTAATTATTTTAAGAGATTTTGAGCTTGTAATTTAATTTTGAAGCAGTTATAATATTATGCAAGATTTTTTATTTCATCATCCTTTTTAGCAATCTTGAATTCACAATTCTTATTTTTATTATTATGATATTGCAGGTAGAAAAACGAGGATTGTATGGAATTAAACACCGAAATGAAACAATGAGCAACAGAAACATATTTGCTTCCCTGAGAGAAGATGCAAACACATTAAATACTAATAATGGGGATGCACAACAGCAATCTTCGATTCCCAGTAATATAGATATTGATAAAGAATTAACAGGCGAAAAGGATGACACAGACTTATATTTGAATTACTTTAAATTTCCAAGATCCGAGGAAAACGAAAAGTACAAAGAAGTATACGATTGCATTCCAAAGTTGCGAAGTTCGTCTCCCCCGAGATTCACAACAAAGGGAGTAAAGAAGAGTCGTATTAATCATGAAGCAATGGGTGTTCGCAAGCTCGGGAAAACCCTCGGAAATCCCTTTTCAACTCACGGGCGAAAGAGAAACGGAGTCGTTTTCGGAAACAGAGAATTAGTTTCCGTAGATGAAAAATTAAAATATACAGAAGCGGCAAGTAACATCAAAAGGATCATGAAGGACAAATGTAAGGATGTGAGATTCAGTAGTTACGTTCAACCAAAAATACTCGAAGAAGCGAGGGATAAATTTTCTGCTAAAAGAAAGCGCAAGGCAAAACCTCATTCCAATGAAGAAGAAGATGAGGTAGACATTGAAACAGTGGACGACAGTAACACCATTGTCCCGGAAGTATTAAAACGATCACTAACAAAAATGAAGACGGGACGAAAACCAGGTCGAACTATATTAGAATGCGAAGACTGCGGATATAAAACTACACATAGTGGTCACATGAGGACACATATCATGTGTGTGCATAAAGATCTAAAACAACATGAGTGTAAATACGAAGGATGTGATTATAAATGTTCACGTAAAGGATCCATGACACGTCATGAAAAATGTGTCCATCGTAAAGACAAAGTATTTAGATGTGACATAGAAAATTGCAATTTCGAATCCGCTTGGTACATCAGTCTTGAAAGACATATTGTCACAAAGCATGAAAAACTACGACCTTGGACTTGTCAGATTTGTCGAAAATCATTCGGTCAGCAATATACACTGGATTCGCACATTAATTCGGTGCACAGGAAACAGAAAAGAATTAAATGTGCATTTTGTACGTTCCGTTCTTGCACAAAAATGTCAGTAAGAGCTCATATTTTACGAAGACACAAAGATAAAATTTCTGAAGCTATCAACGAGGCAGAAGAAGAAGATAATGAGGAAACTGAAGATCTAGTTGATTACACGAATGAACAAAATGATTATGATGTGACAATGGAAATCAAGGAACAAGAGTGTGCATAATGTAAGCAGTTGGATAGAGACATTATTTCTGTGAGTCTGGAACTTAACCTAATTCATATGGTAAAGCTCTCAATAATTATGGATATTGGGATCCAAATATGTAGGGTGTTTTGGTGGTGCTCCAGAAATGTGTGCACCAATATGGATGTAACTAATTTTGTTTGTCTATTTTACATCAAGTTGTATAAAGGGACTGAACGTATGGGCAGGGGGCATATTCACTTGGCTAACACAAACAGGCTCGACCTCTTAATAGAACAAAATAAGGTAAATCGGCATAAAATTATGGCCCAACCTCAACCTGGTACACACATTATGGGAGTACCGTTTTGGTCTCTGTGGCTTTTAGAGCAAAACACTAGACTTAATGATGACTGCATCGCTGGTTAAAATCTTCAGTTCAATCCCATGCCTGCCACTCCACCCTGTGTGTAAAAAATTAGTTGGGAGCGGAAAGATTCCGGTCTGCTCAAACTATAATCGCTCGTTACCAGACTACTTTTGCAGAGCCATGTTCGGGTTAGAAAAACCCATAATTTTGCTGTATAAAATTTGTGTGACTTATCCAATTCAGAATTCAAGTATACAGCTTGCTGAAAAATAAATCAAGATTTTAAACATTCTCGACATGAATATGTATAATATTTTCACTTTCAAAATGAGTCAATTAACCTAAACTAAAATTTGTTTTTCTACACCACTTATTTGCATTTAGGACCAAAATTTTTTTTCATACTATTAAACCAATGTACTTCGTTACTCCCTATCTTACTATTACTTACCATCTTAACGATGTTCCCGTAGTATGTGTAACAAGATGCCGGACAGCGGACACTGCAACGTAGTATGTGTACCAGGTCAGGGTTAGGCCATAATTTCAGGTACAAATACTATGGGAGTCACTTAGCTCGTCCCCAAACTCGCAATAGAACTAAAATTGGAATAAAATTATGGCCTAACCCTGACCTGGTACACATACTACGTTGCAGTGTCCGCTGCCCGGCATCTTGTTACACATACTACGGGAGCACCTGTACTTCATTACACAGTTTTAATTCATCATGTCAAGTGCCATTAATTTGAGACCCATAATGTGAGAGATAATTTGTTTACAAATAATATTTCCCAATGTCATATTCATGTAGAAGTCTTGTTGCAAAAGTTTATTATTGGCCAATATAATAATAATACTAATGAACAAATATAATATTAATTAAGGCCATAAAATTACCAAATTTAGAAAACGAACATTCAAAAATAATTGTATTCAATATTTTAATTTAAAAACCAATTTTAAACAAAAATCAGGATTGTTGAATCTTATCGAGGATGATTTCAATTGGTTTTCATGGTAACTTGTTTTATTACTATGGTGTAATAATTAGTTTAAATTCAATGAAAAACCTTTTCTGAAAGCATTACCAGATAAAATTTTTAGTATATTATGAATAATATGGTGCTAATAGACCCAAAATTCGTGCTCAAAAGGTAATATTATTCCACTGAGTGATTCCCTTAAAATGCTTGAATGAGATATTTTCTGCCTCATGTACATTTTTATCTTGTGATATATAAGGCTGGCATTTCCAAATACTCTAAAATCTGAATGATTCCAGAATTGAATTTTTTTTTTCAAAATTTAATCCCGAATACTGAGAATATTATGAAATTGCATATGACTTTTAAATTTCTGAAAAGCTAGAATCTGTCACTCAGACATTTCGCTGAACATTCACACAATATAACGTTTAATCAACAACTCACTCGTAAAAAAACTCATAGGTCAAAATTGCATTTTAAAAATATGGCTTCGATAAAAAAAATGACAAATTAACCTTAGGTCATTGAAAACATACAAGATGTGGCGATTTGAGATTTTTGTGTGACCAATTCGAATAATATACTATTCGATTTGAAATGCCCAGCTCTGGTTATCTTTGTTGAATGTGCCAATTTATCAATCATGTTTTTATCTTTGTACATATTTTCTTTTTTTATATTCCAACTTTACAGTACCAACTGAGCTATTTTAAATCATGTTAATAATTGAACATTCTAAAATTTGCAGTACAAGCAACTACTTTTGTGATAATTATAACTCGTTCTGCCGTATTGTTGTATCTTGTATATTTTCACCAATCTTGGAATGCATTGTGCATATACATATTCTTAGTGCTCACTAATTCACATAATAAATGATTTTCAAAACAATACAGTCTATTTCTGAATTAAAATAGTGTGGTAATATATTTAATATATATTGAATGCTGCTCAGTGCAAATGCGAGATAATTCCTGATTGAAACTGAGGTTTTTAGTGACACATTTGTAAATTTCGATGTTTTAGGATAGGATAGGATTTACATATATTTATCCCGGGGGAGAGGGAAGCCGATAAGACGGCTTATCCATATGGCGAACCACGGCCTCTCGTGCGGTTACCATTCCAAGTCGGGTATGGGATTAGTTTTACTGTATTGTTTGTTTTCGGAAGCATGGACTTGGTGGTGGAGGAAGCCGTAACCGACCAGCGGTTACGTGATCCACCCAACGACGGCGAGGAGTCCAGCAATCCTCTCGCACATAACCATCCCTGCATGGGATGCGAACCCACGCAGAGTAGTTAGAGGTGCGGTGGAGATCGTATTCCTAACGCTTAGCCCGTTGAGCCACACCGCCGCGCCGTTTTCAATCCAATGAAACAAGAACAAGTCCTATGGAATAAGGAAAATTTGACTGAACTTTTCCTTATTCGCGTTTTAACGTTTTACCGATGAACTTATTATTCATATTTCATTTATACGTAAAATATAGGTATAGGTTATTGTTGATGCATCGCATTTTTACTGATAATGGAGTTGAAAAAATTTCAAGCGTATATTCTTTGGTGGCTCTTGCAGATTTGTGAACCTTTGGCGACATCTCGATGACGTTTCATAATTCCATATTAATATGTTTCTATACCAAATTCATGCATTTGAAATAATATATTTATGAAATTTTGAAAGTATGTGCAAGCCGTGAACTGATTTTCGATATTTGCTGAAGCTGTAAACATGTGGAAGAACGGGTCACGTGATCACCCGATTGGCGCTTTTATTGCACATTGCTGTCACCGGCCTGTTTTCGCTCAAGGATTCCGATTTATATGTCGGTAATATCATTATTCAGCATAAATGTATTTTCATCGTGTCGTTCGCGAGGCATCGCTTAGAAGCATTTATTGTAGTTGAACTTCATTTTGGCGATATGTCAAGTTGTAAATGTAAGGCAATAAATTATGCAAGTCAAAAAATGGCTCATCACCTGGACATTCGCTCATCTGCTTTCCTGCATGCCTGCTCCCTTTCGCTGACTAGATTTGATAGTTCTATATAACTTTATTATATTAATAATAATAATATAGCAATAAGTTAACCATCACAAATCACTGCAGGACATGTGAAACCGTAATCCATTAGTCCAACCTTGTACGGTACGGTACCGGTACCTACAACCTAACCTAATAAATTGAAAATTCTGAAATTATTATCGCCAGAGTGCTGGAGGGTGGCTGTGTAAGTGCAGGAACGTGGACATACAGAAATTTTATCGGTACCTAGTAGTCTACCTCAGTGTGGTTCAAGGTTTCTGGCCGCAAGTGGGAGAAAATTCAAAAGTGATCGAAATATTGCGAGTTTACTCCCTTTAAATTTAGTAAACTAAGAGATTTTACCGTTCTAATTAGACTATTATTATGTAGCGTGGGTGGCGTTCTTTGAAAAAAGATATATAAAGCCTTCAGTTATTTTAAAATTAATTCCCGAGAATTACCGCTGTATTTTCCGCATCTCACTGCTGCACTGTGTGATGGGCAACGAAATACGTTCTCGCTGTGTTTTCCCTATGTCACCTTTCTTGTGACACTCATTTTATTACGAATTGGTATATTTGAGTAATTGAAAAACTTGCAGCGAGAGCAAGCTTAGTGCCATCGTCAAATAACAACCAAGTTCGTCTAAGTTGAATCTTAGGATCCCAACCCCAGTTGAAATAGCTGAAAACACGTTCTGCTATTAGATACAAATATACGCTGTTCTGTAGCCGCACGGAATGTATCAGCATGACAGGGTTTGGACCATCCTGGTCTACCTTATCAAAAAACTCCCGACTTCGCTGACCCCTAGATCCTTGAAATGCGATCATGGAACCGCCACATAGTGCTAATAATTCATTGGTCCAATTGTTGAAAATAAAAGAAGTTTTGAAGACAAAAATGCAGCAACATAGTGAATACTAGGAAGAAAAAACAACAACAATTAAGAAAACAACTCATATGCCCATTTCGTGTCCAATAAATAAGTTTCAGTGGTTATTTTCATAAAGAAGGTTAATATGATACTTGAAGACAAAAAATAAGCGAACATTTTAAAGATTGAGTCGTCTGGTGAACTCGTAATATTTTAATAAACACAGATAAAATTCTACTCTAAAATTTCTGTGGTGCCCCTCTTTGCTTGGTGCCCTAAGCACGTGCTTATATTGTTCAATGGTTAATCCGGTGCTGCTTGCACTACAGTATCTTCTAAAGAGTTTCGAAGCATTATTTTGATTGCAGAATTTGCAAATACTTTTTCCACAGCCTTATTTCTGTATTCAATATATGAATATAATACTGTCACAAGCTTGATAAGCCAATATTTGAATCTCTAAAATTGTACAATATGAATAAATTAATGTTAGATAGGCTAATTACTCGAGTGTGTACTTGTTTTGTAGGATTTTTTTTTTTCTCAAATCTTTTCTGAATTATTTTCATGTTCAATAAATCTGAAACTCACAGCCTGAGGTTACCAATCTGACGGTCACCATGGCTGAATAAAAAACTTGCGCTGTTACATAAAAATGATCAATGCTGTAATAACCTCTTGAACTATAATAATGGTGATGAAGAAAAACATGAGTTACTGAAGTGAAAGTTCTGTAATTTTAAAAAGCAAAAATTTCCTTAAAGTTCCTAAAACAATTTTTTTTTCAAATAAATGTTATTCTACATTGCAATTGCCTTTCTCATATCTTTGTTATTTAACTACATTTTGAATAATGATTATCATGCTATTTTTTATTTTTAAGACCACATAATGTCACCTAGAAAAAATACCAAAAAGCTAAACAATACCAAATCTTGTTTGGAAACTGCGAATGTCAGCAGCCCTACAGAGAACTCAGCTCCTGTGGTTGAAAAATTGAGGCGGTCAGGAAGGAAGCGAAAATCTAAGAAGTTTCAGGATGATGATCTTCATTCAACGAGTAACACTTATTCATATGAAGGGAAGCAGTCAAAAGCTGATGAATATGGGACTCTGAAAAGCAAAGTCAAGAGTGCTAAACAAACGGACAAGGTGAGTTATTTCCGTTTTAGTATGCTGAAATCTTTCCCATCTCAAGGGAATATATGATAAAGTTTGAAACGTCGTATTGTACGTCTATCATTATTCAAGTATGCTAACATTTTTTCGTTTTAAGTTAATTATAAATTTTGTAATGTGCATCTGAACTTTTTGTTTTTATTCCCTGGAAAATTTCCTATTCTAATAGTTTTTCTTCACAATTGACTTATTGGAATCCTTTTTTTGTTTCTTAATTTTTTTCCTGACACACTGACTTGAATTTGCTTATTTTTCATGCTTGATCATGTTTATTTATTTTTTCACCTTTTAGTTTGGCTCAGAACTTTCATTGTAGGGAACTTATATACATATTAAATGAATACTCTTTCTTACTGGTTGCCAACCTTTTTTTTGTGAATTTCTCCCTTTGCCCTACTGGAAGTAGCGTACTTTATTTATTCAATATTTAGCAAATCCTTTCTGTTACGTCAAAGTCACACTTCCGCTTTTGTACAGTTTAAATATTTTTGTAATGTGTGCATAAACAAGTATTATAGTAATAAAATGGAATTAAAACTAAATTCTACTTTGAAATTCTGCGTTGCTTTATCAATCAAGTATTGAACACAAAATGTAGGCTACATTTCAAATGGGTCATTTGCAAATAATTTTTTTTTTGTCGAAGCATTTTTTATTTTTAGTAGGTAAATTTTGTTCTCACAAAATCATCATCAGGCTCTTTTAGGATGTAGATCGTATGAAAATACCAAGGTCCATGCATAATACGCACGGTCAAATTCAGTCACTCACTTCGGTCACTTGCGTGGACCACATTTGGTATTTTCGAAAAGCCAGCCTAGCAAGTTTCACTGTAATTTAATATTATGTTTCAAGTGTTTGTGACGTCCACAGGTCTGTGTCTGTCAATCTTGGAGTGCTGTTACCCGGCTTCGAATTATCGTGCTGTTACTCATCTTAGAGCATTTTGAAAATTGTTGGGAAAAAAATATTTGTGAGCGTTGTGTTTGCCGATTGGTCAAAACGAGAGAAATGAAACAAGCCGCAAATCAGAGTGAGAAAAAATGATTTAGGAACATTCAGTTTTGCCTATACGGCAATACAGAAATAAGGGACGCCCGACTGGACGACAACAACAAATAAACTATCGATTTAAAGTGACGTTCTTATCACTTATATACACTGGTTATTGAAATTGATGCGTTGTCCCTTGTTAGACAAGATAGCCGATTCCGTGGGTGTGATTCTACTGCAACAAGCATGAACTGGTTATGACAGATTTTGTCATATAAAATTAAGAGAAATAAGACGAAAAGGAAACATGTGTATTTGGCAATCGCGTGTAAAATATCGATCAGGATTTTTTGGAAAATTTTCTATACCAATGTATAATACGCACCCCTTAATTTTGGAGATGAAATCCGGAACCGGAAGTGCGTATTATACACGGAGAAATACGGTATATAAAAGATGTCATATTTATTACATATGACCTCTTCATGTACAGCGTTTTAATTAAGGCTTTAGGCTATGCTACATTAAAATGAGTGAACATCCTAAAATTTTGAAACTGTTTTGAATTTGTATGTTCATTCATTTCCCATTTCTTGTTATCCATCCAACACGCAACAAACTGTAAGAACTATGGTAATATTAGTTAATAAGTTAATTAAAATTTTATTAATTGAATTGCAATTAATCTTATTTTGGTATTAACTAGTTGTATTGAAAATATTCATATTATTACATAAAAAGCATAATTTGTTCAGCGTTAAGATAAATGTGAATGCATTAATATTAATTAATTTGTTTCAAAATTGTTGATATTGATATGTTTATAGGCTACTGGTTATCCTAACTAAGACAGCAAAGCCTACCATGCCTTTTGCTTTAATTTGCATAAAGCTTTTTTCCTTATGTAGCATATGAATATATCAGTGGTTCCCAACATTTTTTGTTAAATTCCTCCCCATTCCTACCCTTCAATCTGTATTGAATCGTTAGCTATTGCTATGCCATGTAGCATTCCCCTTTTGGTACAGTTCAAATAGTTCGATTTGTTCATAAATATGTGTCATGGTAGTAATGAAAAACTGATGAATATTAGAAATTTCAAATACCACAGCGAATACAAAGCAAATTTTACCATTCTTTGTTTTTACTTTTTTTAAGAGATTTTGAGCTAATTTAATTTTGAAGCAATTATAATATTAGGCAAGATTTTTTATTTTATCATTCTTTTTAGCAATCTTGAATTCACAATTCTTATTTTTATTACTATGATACTGCAGGTAGAAAATCATGGATTGTACGGAATTAAACACCAAAATGAAACAATGAGCAACAGAAACGTATTTGCTTCCCTGAGAGAAGATACAAACACATCAAATACCGAAAATGGAGATGCACAACAGCAATCTTTGATTCCCAGCAATATAGATATTGATGAAGAATTGACAGGCGAAAAGGATGACACAATCTTATATTTGAATTACCGGTACTCTAAATTTCCAAGATCCGAGGAAAACGAAAAGTACAAAGAAGTATACGATTGCATTCCAAAGTTGCGAAGTTCGTCTCCCCCGAGATTCACAACGAAGGGAGTAAAGAGGAATCCTATTGATCATGAAGCACTGGGTGTTCGCAAGCTCGGGAAAACCCTCGGAAATCCCTTTTCAACTCATGGGCAAAAGAGAAATGGGGTCGTTTTCGGAAACAGAGAATTAGTTTCCGTAGATGAAAAATTAAAATATACAGAAGCGGCAAGTAACATCAAACGGATCATGAAGGACAAATGTAAGGACGTGAGATTCAGTAGTTACGTTCAACCAAAAATATTCGAAGAAGCGAGGGATAAATTTTCTGCTAAAAGAAAGCGCAAGCCAAAACCTCATTCCAATGAAGAAGAAGATGAAGTGGACATTGAAACGGTGGACGACAGTTACACCATTGTCCCGGAAGTATTAAAACGATCACTAACAAAAGCGAAGACGGGACGAAAACCAGGCCGAACAATATTAGAATGCGAAGACTGTGGATATAAAACTACACATAGTGGTCACATGAGGACACATATCATGTGTGTGCATAAAGATCTAAAACAACATGAGTGTAAATACGAAGGATGTGATTATAAATGTTCACGTAAAGGATCCATGACACGTCATGAAAAATGTGTCCATCGTAAAGACAAAGTATTTAGATGTGACATGGGAAATTGCAATTTCGAATCTGCTTGGTACATCAGTCTCGAACGTCATATTGTCACAAAGCATGAGAAACTACGACCTTGGACTTGCCAGATTTGTCAAAAATCATTCGGTCAGCAATATACACTGGATTCACACATTAATTCGGTGCACAGGAAACAGAAAAGAATTAAATGTGCTTTCTGTACTTTCCGTTCCTGCCTAAAATTGTCGGTAAGAGTTCATATTTTACGAAAACACAAAGATAAAATTTCTGAAGCTATCAACGAGGCAGAGGAAGAAAATAATGAAGAAACTGAAGATCTAGTTGATTACACGAATGAACAAAATGATTATGATGTGACAATGGAAAACGAAGAACAAGAGTGTGTATAATGTAAGCAGGTGGATGAGGACATTATTTTTATGTGTTTGAAACTTCACCTAATTCATATGGTAAAGCTACCAGGAATTATAGATATTGAGAGTTGAGACCCAAATATGTATATGGTGTTTTGGTCGTTGTGACGTTTTGAGCGAAATTGTAGCTGCTGAACACTTGCTGAAAAATACCGACATCATTCATGAATATTTGTTTTTCTACACCACTGATTTGGATTTGGGACCAAAATTTTTTCTTCGTTCTGAGCGAATCTACTTTATGACACAGTTTTTATGCATCATGCCATTAATTTGAGACCCATTGTATGAGATGGATGATTGAGTTGATAATTTGTTCTCAAATAATATTTCTCAATATCAAAAGTTTATAATTGGCCATTAATGTGATAATAATACTAATGTTCTAATATCAATGACAATTAAGGCCATGTAATTAGCAAATTGAGAAAACGAATATTCAAAATTAAATATGAAAAACCAAATTTTATACAACAATCTGGATTATTAAATCTAATCATGGTTGATTTCAAGTGTTTAACATGGTAACTTGTTTCATTATTATGATTATGATGTACAGTAATAATTAGTTTAAGTTCAGTAAAACATATAAAATTGTTTAGTATATTATAAATAGTATGGTGCTCTACCCAATTATTTGTGCTCAAAAGTTAATAATCTTCCACTGAGTTGTTGCCTCTAAATGCTTACTGGTAAATGATTTATTTTCTGCCTCATGTACATTTTTATCTTGTTATATATAGGGCTGGTTTTTTTTCGAATTTAATCCCGAATGTGAAGAGGGTGTCCAAAAAGTTTCGCCCGATTATAAAGTCTTTATATTCAAATAGATTTTTTTTTTCAATTATAAAAAAGATTTATAGTCAGCCTTTATTTAATTGGATGTTATAAACGTTGGATGTTGTAGTTCCTATTTATCATTCAATACAATTTATTCAAATTTGAAATTGTTATTCCTATGAAATCGGGCGGAACTTTTTGGACAACCTGTACAATATTTCCGAATTCTACTGAAGAAAAAAAAAGACGAATTCAACTTAGGTGAACAGTGAACACAAACATACGATGACGATTCAAAATTTTCGTCTGACCAATTTGTGTAGTTTACTTACTTTTAGATTAAAAATGATCAGCCCTGGGTATATATTTGAATGTGCCAATTTATCAATCATGTTTTTATCTTTGTACATATTTTCGTTTTTTTTCTTTTCCAACTTTACAGTACCAACTGAGCTATTTTAAATCAGGTTAATTATTCATTGAACATTCTATAGTTTGCAGTACCAGGAATTATTTTTGTGGGTGCTCCCGAAGTATGTGCACCGGCGGTGGTGTATGGGGCGCAACGGTGTGGCTCAACGTGCTCAGTGTTAGGAATACCCTCGCCACTGCACCTCTGATTACTCTGCGTGGGTTTGCAGGTTCAAATCCCATGCAGGTATGATTATGTGCGAGAGGATTGCTGGACTCCTCGCTGCCGTAGGGTGGTTCACATAACCGCTGGTCGGTTACGGCTTCCTCCACCATCAAGTCCATGCTTCCCAAAAACAAATAATTAACTACCCGACATGGAATGGTAACCGGACGAGAGGCCGTAGTTCGCCATATGAATAAGCCGTCTTATCGGCTTTTCTCTCCCCCGGGATAAATATGTGCATCCTACCAAGTTAGGGTCATCAGGTTGTGCGCCATCTTAGTGGCACACACTGAAGGAGCACTCTTTTGTGATAATATTATAACTTGTTCTGCCGTATTGTTGTATCTTGTATATTTTCACTAATCTTGGAATGCATTGTGCATATACATAGTCTTAATGCTCACTATTTCACAAAATAAATGATTTCCAAAACAACACAGCCTGCGTCTGTTTTAAAATATTGTGTCAAGTGGGAAGATGAGGGCTCAACTCTGTTCCGCGGTTATTTATGCACGTACGTACGTTTGGTTACAAGGAACGGCACCTGTCTTTGGAACTTGGGCGAATGTTTTTTTAGGCCATGGTGGAGTTCAAAATAAGATAAGATTTGCTTTCATTAGAGCGCTAAATGATTGTACTGCCACCCACAGCGATATCGGTATTAGATCAGTGGCATACTTATCCATCTTATAGACCGTAATAGGCACCGCATCTTTCCGTGAATGCTATTTGTCAAGTTTAGTAGTTTTTCCAAAATTTAGGTATGGATCGAATAAGTGGTAGCCAATTTTTTTTTATTGTACAGGTTTTGGCTAAGTTGCTGCTTTCAAAATTACGCAAGGAATAGCCATTAAAGTGGTTCAAACGGTATGTAGATAGATATTTTATGAAATAAAATAAATTCCTGAAACAATAAAACCGTTTTCAACTCGCAAAAACACCAATTCCCGAACTGGTAGTTGGATAAATATTTTGAATTAACATTATGGTTATGAAACGTAAAACATATACGGTAAATCAGTTTGTAGGTGATTCAATGCTAAACCTTATCTAAGGTTTTTCTGGGTCTCCTGATTTCATAATCATTTTTTATTTTTACCAATATTTTTATTGGTATGCTGATTATGGAGTCGAAATCAACCTGAACCTTTACTTATAGAAATTTTTTTATGGGTTCAAGGGCCGGAAAACTTCAAGGGGGCGTGGCTAGTTGGGCAATATTGCCACTCGAGGTCGCTGTTGGGCGCAAAATACGCTTTCACATTTGCAGGTTCCTCCCTAAAGCTATATCCAGGTATACAGATAGGATAGGATAGGATAGGATTTACATATTTATCCCGGGGGAGAGGAAAGCCGATAAGACGGCTTATCCATATGGCGAACCACGGCCTCTCGTCCGGTTACCATTCCAAGTCGGGTATGGGATTAGTTTTTACTGTATTGTTTGTTTTTCGGAAGCATGGACTTGGTGGTGGAGGAAGCCGTAACCGACCAGCGGTTACGTGAACCACCCAACGACGGCGAGGAGTCCAGCAATCCTCTCGCACATAACCATCCCTGCATGGGATTCGAACCTGCGAACCCACGCAGAGTGATTAGAGGTGCGGTGGCGAGCGTATTCCTAACGCTTAGCCCGTTGAGCCACACCGCCGCGCCGGGTACGGTACCGGTACTGGTGCATGGAAGCATGAAAAGCGATGCTGCGGTGGCTTCGAATGAATTGTCGTCGTTTTAATAGTCCGTATTGGATATGTTAGATGATGCGTGTAAACTTACTATCGGTATGGTATGGTACTTCATACCGGTACCGGTACTTAAACCTCGAACTCAACCTCCAACCAGTCAAGAGACCAAGAGCCGCATTTCGTACTTTGATAACGCGAAGAGCCATGCTAGTTTATTGTAAATATCACTAATCAACATGATTATGGTATGTCGTTGTAGCCAATCTAAGCAGTCCTTTCAGTCTGTCAGTCAGTAAGATCAATGCTTCGATTTCACGTCTTTTAGGGTAGAAAATACAGATTCGCAGATGTATATGTTGATCCAAACATTGACAATAGCCTAAGCGCATGTACGGTAGTTTAAAATTGGCGATTTTACCATTGGCATGCTTTGCCATAACTCAATGCAGCAATGGTAGGTACCGTACCTTCCCCTAATTTGAAACTGTAAAACGCATTTCAGCTAGTCTTCCTAATACAGTAATAAAAAACGATCATCTTCAACTCAGTTGCAGCCTTGTTTTAGACTAGAAGGGAGTTTTAAACTATCCGTCTCAGAATTAAATGAGTCGTCGATGACGCAATCTGTGACTTTTTTTTACTTGCAATTCATTTACTTTGCCCAAATGGCGAATTGCGCGTTCCCGCCGTCTACGATTATGGCCTATTATGACAGCCTTTGTCTGTTTGTAGTTCAACAACAACGGAGAATTTAATTGTGACGTAATAATGGACAATCGCATAGTAAAGTGAATGAAAGCGTATCTTCGACGTAAAAGAAGAATGCACGATGAATCATAATATGTTTAATCGAAAATGGTAGTTTGGAACTCATTTTTTTCATTGGACAACCTAGGTGAAAAGAGCCGCATGAAACCGGTTTAAGAACCGCGGGTTGGCCACTCCTGCTCTAACTGCATGTCAGTATTATTAGTCTTGTTATCATCAACTCCTGAAGCGTGAGATCAAATCTAACATTACGGTTCTCGTTTGAAATATTTCTTTGATATATTCTATATTGCCATTGGTAAAACCGGAGTTTGAAAGAATTGCAAGAAATGTTTATTAGGTCATAAAGAAAAAGTTTGAATAACATCTTTTTTGTCTTGTGAATTTGCTCAGAAATTTATGAGAATTTTATTTTTCTTGTTTATTTTTTTTGTTTTGTGATATAGAAATTGATCAATACAGTATTCATTTTGTAAATAAATTATGATTGTATCTTATTATCTAATTTTAATGATCTGTTCCTTTAGTCATATAACACCTGTGGATTTCAATGCAATATTCTTTAAATAAAATTTAAATCATGGAAAAAATGATTTCAGGGTCGCGTGTAGTTTCGTACCTAACATACTTCTAGTGGGCGTAGCATATCGATTTTTTTATATGTCAATCCTAACCCCCATCTGACTACGCCATCCAAAAATTACATCACTACGATATCACAATCACGTCATAGAGCTTGTCAAATATACATTCGATCGCCCGAAATCAGGTAATGGCATCGGCGCTGGCGATAAAGAACTGACTAACATCATCGATCTCTCTCATATTGGGATCGTTGCGACGAGAAAACGAGATAAATAGATGTTTAAACTGGGTGCTCGTCTGCGCGTCTTGGATGACAGTTCACATAGTTTGAAAGGCTCTATTACGTCACTGTGACGTTGTAGTGACATAATTTTTGGATGGCGTAGCCGCGTAGTCAGGTGGGGGTTAGGAATGACACATGAAAAAATTGTTATGCTACGCCCACTGAAGTATGTTAGGTAGGAACTACCCTGAATCCTGATATTATATTTGAGAACAAAACACCTGATGTTGCCTTTTATAAAATAAGCAAATAAAAGTGTTTTAATTCCTAGAAAAAAAATAGAAAGCTTATGCAAAAAGAATTGAAAAAGTCTTGATAAAAAGAGGAAAAATAAGATGAGTCAATTCAGGATTGGCACTTCGCTGTCTGTGATTTGAGTTGACTCAATCTCAGATGTCATATTTCAATGGAGTCGTAGAGTCGCTGCGCTGTGTCATCCCGAAAGCAATCTTGCAAGCAGACAATACTAAGAATGTGTAAAACTAGTTGATAAGTACTGGCGTTGTCTGGCTACTGAGAGAAGTTCTCAGAAAGTCATACTCCAAGCCATTGCTGCATTGAGAGAGTGATTTTCGATCCTACTCCCATCCCAGTCTTTGCTGAAGTTGACAAAATTGTTTATTGACTTCTGCTCTCAACTCCAGGATTTGAGCGATCTTGGCATCTTTCCAGTTTATGTTTATTCCCACTGCAGTAAAATCTGCAACTCTGTCGATGCCAGAAAATTTGAATTTCTGTGGTTTAAAAATGCGAACATGATTTTGATTTAAATACAAGTACTTAAGTGTAGACTTTTATCTGTTAATTCATATAAACTTTTAATAATTTTTTTTTACATAGTGTATCACAGAGTGTAGGTTTTATCGAGTAGATTATATGATAATAATAGGTGTCTTTTCTGTATTGTATAGTTTCATTAATTTCTAATATCAGCTAAGTCAACTATAAATGCACCTGTAATAAAATAGGAATTTGTTTGTTAGTCCAACTTCTGTGCTTTGAACGTTTATGGTAGCAAATTTACAATAGTGGATAGAGAATTCATTTTCCATTTCTAAATGGTATTTGTCATGCAACTGGCTGATTAAATTGTAGGTATTGCTCATTTTGACATGAAGCAATGACTTTGGTACTCCCGAAGTATGTGAGCCAAGATGGCGGACACCGGAACGTTATGTATGTACCTACTACAGGAGTCACTTGGCTAGTCCCCGAACTAAAACTAAAATAGGAAAAATTGGAATAAAATTTTGGTTTAATCCTAACCTGGTACACATACTACGTTCCGGTGTCCGCCATCTTGGTTCCCATACTTCAGGAGTACCATGGCTTTTTTGTATCTCAAATTTATTAGAGAGTTATTTATTTATATTTATTGGGAGTCGATCAATTCCAATTTTTTTTTTTTTGAAAATAATTTTTTGAAATACATCATTAGTCATTCTATTGGAATAAATACCTGTATATAAAATCTATTGTTAGTTTCACTCTGAAGAAATTTACTTTGAATAAGTTAATGTTTCATTATCACCTTTATTTGGTTTGACTGAACTGCAAACATTGCTCATTGTGCATAAATATGAAAGTTTATTCAATTTACAGGAAGTTTCACTTTACAAAGGCGAGGGTGCCTGCTCTTACCAAGAGTAGTTAAGACTCGATAGCAGTTCTGCTCCTGAGAAACTTTTATATTGCCTATGTGTGTTTTCAAACAATTTTTTTTTATTTGCAAATGAAATTATATAAAACTCTCCGGTACTTACTTTATTTTTAATGATTCATTGGCACCAAATAACTGGCAAAATCAACTCAGTAGGTGATAACTTTACAATATACTAATTCTCATTCGCTTACAAAAGAAGGAAGTCTGATATGTCATCATTCAAATTGATTATTATTCAAATTAGATATGTATGGTATTTGCCATTGTCAGTCCTCGTAATTTAGAATTTGAAATTGTTCGAAAGAAACTTATACGGCATATATTCATATTAATTTTAGGATATCGCAGGGAAATTTCTTTAACCTATGGTTTAAGTTGTATACCGTAAATATTTTTGTATGTTACTGATAATATGGCTATTTTGGTAGCATTAACCAACCAAATAGGAAACGCTCCATGACCTGTAAAGTTTCAGTTTGTGCAACGCAGTTGTTCGCAAACTTTTTTGTGTTGCAACGTGTGAATGAAAACTAAATTTTGCTGGGGTACACATATAAAATAAAGTTGACACATAGTAGCTAACTAGGTGGTTGAAGCAAATAAATACAGAAAGATTTCTGATAATGGCAAAGTCGCAATGGCTGTTTTACACTTTCGTGTTATGTTGTATGCATAAAGATCTAGTTAATTTAAATGGACAATAAGAGGGATAGACAATATACAATAAGTTTAATTCATATTATAAATGAACAAAACTTTTGCGGCACACTTGGCCCTCTTTCATGGAAAATCAGTGTGATATATAGTTTGGAATCACCTGGTCTAACCACACCCATAAGTACTCTATTCCATGAGGTTTGTTTGTTTGGCCGAATTGGATATATTTTGTTTAAAAGATGTCATATTCAAGTACATTTACTTTGTAATCAACATTTTTCCAACATCAAAAATTGCCATTATGCCAAAATTTTACATCTTTGTGTCAGCAACACTAACCTGTCTCTATCATCAGTGACTCACAATTTTAGTTTATTATGCAATGTAATAACATGCATCATAGATATGAGGTTGCGTACTTTTTGGAATAATGTTGCTTTTATATACGGTGTCGGTACTCATATGCGTACACATGCATGGCCCTATATGCGGCCAATGATAATTCAAGCTCATTTGAATAGATTTGTCTCCTGCTATGTATGGCCAGTTATGATCTACTATCAATTATTCACCAAGATGACTAATACAGCAATGTACACTATAAGGCGATGTGCGTAGGTCGTATAACGTTAGATGTATTGTTTTTCATTTTCAGTGGTTTATGGGAGTTGCTACCATATTCATTAGATATATGAGGAAAGATTGAATATATTATCAATATTAGTCTCGAGCATGTATTGAAAAATACTTCTTGATAATAACTGCTGATATTATTTTTTGAATAGCATATATGTAAGCTAGTTGGTAACAATGAATTTAAATAGATTAATAAAGCAAGGTATTCGGTTGACGTATGTTGTTTGAAAGCATCTCTTTCATTTTCTATTGTAGAATACTGGTATCGAGTTTATTCCAAATTCGTCATATTCAATAGAGAACAAATAGAATCAATGTATATTCAATAAATTTGATATGATGATTTTATTCATTCTCCGTTATATATACCGTAGTATTTAATAATTGAATTGGAAGGCTTTTTGGTTATATTGTGATTCTTCAATTGCTTATATATTTTACCTTATACCTATAACTAAGAATCTACAATATGAAATTGGAATATATTTAATTTTTAATCAATTCAAATATTTGATTTGTTTGGCACTCCTTGCTAAATGATTTTCTCAGGTTAATATTAAAAAAAATAATGTCAGAAATTTCCATTGCTATAAAGCTTTAATAAATTCTGACAAAGACAAGACTGATTTTTCAAACAAATCTGATCCGCCCACTTCATCATATTCTATTCTATTGGCATACAGTAATTCTGCTTAGAGCGGAATTGCACATTTCAAAACAATCATGATATTTCACTTTTGTGTGAATAGTTATTAAGTTATGATGAATAGTTAGAGTAAGATTTAACATAGCTAAAATATAGATTCAAATTATAATTTTTGTTAATATGGTATCAAGAGTTAGATATAGTGTGTTGTACCATGTTAGGGTTAGGCCATAATTTTATTCTGATTTTCCTTCTTTTAGTTCTATTACGGGTTGGGGGACTGTCTGTGTTAGCCAAGTGAATATAGGTTTCAGTCCCTTTACACAACTTGTTGTAAAATAGGCGAACAAAATTAGTTACCGTCATATTGGTACACACTTGAAAATGTATGATTTCAGGCTGTTTTAAAAAATCTTATTGCAGAACTTTAGAGTTGTGATTGCGTAATATGATCCACAAAAGCATTAGAACCATTATATAGTGATTTTATCACAAATTTAATCGTTATTGGCATATTATACTTCAAAATTAATAAGGTTTCCTATATCAGTTTAGGTATTCTATACTGCTTACTTTTCTTTTTATAGATAAAGTTACATCTCATTCTTAATAAACCAATATTTTGCATCATTTTCAGATTATTTGTTAAATTTATTCCGTTAAGTTAATTTGATGTGAAAACGTATAAATTAGTCTGAGATCAACAGAAGATTTGTTCCTGGCTGCTGCCAAACTTTCAGTTTGAAGATTCAATTTTTTGTGGCTGTAAGTAAAAAAATATTATTATTAGTGTGATTCTCTATCTATCTCCAAACAAAATATGAATTCTGCAACGCTTGAACCATAGATTTCTTATCTTCATATATAGTAAGTTCACTAGATCAGGAATTCGCAAACTTAAGGTGCTTTGGAGCCTGTGAAGAGGCTGACTAATATTTACGGAGTAGCCTCACAATAAATTTATAAAAAAACACCTCGTTACTTTCTGGTTTAGTGTTCCTGAGTAAGCTCAAATCACTTCATTTAATGGATAGGATGTATTTGCTGCTTTGGGGTATTTTAATGAGTAAATGAATAGCTCGTGGAGCCCCTAGGATTTCCTAACGGAGCACTTTGAAGACCTATGTGATGGGTTGATATTGGTATATGGTATTATGAAAACTCACTAATCTATTGAATATTTATCAAATTTTTTCTATGTTTAGAAGCATATAAACAGCCATGGGTTGTTGCTGTAGAAAAGCTGTTAAGCCACCTGGTACAACAGACACGTGAGTTACTTACAAATCATCGCTAAAATATTTTTACTAATTACCAGATCATTCCATGCACCTAACAATTCTTTTCCTATATGTGCAATATAATAACATTACGTTGCAAATTTTCATTAAAAACTTTTTGTCAAAAATATCTAATTTTTGTAATATTATTTAAACTTTGAATATAGTTCCTCGATTTGTGATCTAATAGCTTTGATTTCAACTTGAATTTTCCAAGAATACTTTCTTTCTTATCGTAATTATTATTTGAATTTCTCGACAATTAAATTTCTGGGAATAAAGTTATGAATTTAGGTAATATCTCTTCAAATTTCAGAGATTCTTAGTTATAGATGAATAGGGTGACCTAAAAAACGGAACTCATGTCATTTGGAAAATATTCTAGAGTTGTGCAAAGCTGGTACTTTTGGGTACAATCACACTCACACACAAACAGAAGTGTTAAATAAATTTCCCCTCTGTTTGTTGAAGTAATTAAATGGTTATATAGGGTTTTTGTGTCACCCTATATGGACATATAAAATTGATTTGTTATCTTTGAATCATGGTGGTGGTGGTATGATCTGGTAATAATTAATACTTCTTAAATTTCATTTATCATTCATCAAAAATATCATTCATGTGCATTTCCATACGACTGTGAAGAACAGCAAGGTTTAAATTGGAAGAATCGGAGTCAGAAACTTGTTAACAGAATATTGGAAAGTTATTTAATAAGTTGTGTAATAATTAAGGCTGGGCATTTCCGGAGCGATTTTGAAATTGTTGAATGTAATATCGAATTTGAATACTGTAGTAATTTTATCAACAACCATTCCAAATAGATAATACATTGACCCTAATTAAAATGGGTTAAAGCTTATCATGGATTAAAGAAAGATAGATAGGATTTTCATATTTATCCCAGGGGAGAGAAAAGACGATATGACGGCTTAACCATGGCCTCTCTTCCGTCCGTTTACCAGTCTATGTTGGACTGTTAAAACATGTACTGGCAACTCGACAAGAGGCTGTGTTTGCCATATATTATTAAGCCATCTCATCAGCATTCCTCTTCTTCCTAAAAAATTAACCTTTGTTTTAGCTATATATCACCAAACTATGTTTATGCAATTTGAAAAAATAGGTTTAATAAATTTCGAAAAATCAAGTTTTTGATTTTAAATTTTCATATTCAATTTGGAATGCCCAGCCCAGCCCCAACAATGAATGCAATGAATGAAAAAAAGGGAGCAAATAAGGATTTTATGAGGCAGTCAAGATGTTGATGATAGTTTCATTCATAATATACCGTTATGTGTCATTTGTAAATGTGTAACAGAAAGCAATATCGTTGAGTTTAAAAAGGAACAGTCAGTGATTAGGATTGTCTTATGCATGTTTTGATCATTAACCGTTAACTTCTATTGTTTGATAAATATCAATAAAATATATACGGTAGTTTTAAATTTTTCTTTTTTAATGTGTTTGTAAAACGGCAAGTTCTTAGTATGCGTTGTGAATTTTACAACATTTTTGTGGTTTATGTGGTTGAAAATGTTTTCTTCTTCAACATTATATTGACTTCAAAATTGAACCTGAATACGTGCTTGTGCTTTTTATTAGTTCCAACTCTTTTATGATGGTGAACTGGAGTAAATCTTGGAGTAAAACTCAAAAAATATCGACAGATTAACTAATTTTTCCCGTTTTATCACATCTGAGTGTTAGTTTATATCTTACCATACATTATTATAGGCCTACCGAATTAACATACATCATAATGTTTTTTGCTGTTTTACTGGCTCCTGATATATTTTTATAACTAGTCTACACAACTAGATAGCACATTCATAAAATAGCCTACTTGAAATTGTACTTGTCGATTTCATTCCGCTGTTCCGCATAAATGCAAACGAAACTTCAAGCCAACATCACTGTATTGAACTGCTGTATTTGTGTTATAAAAGTCAAGAACTAATGGAAGGAATATTACAAAGTCACAATTATTAATTAAACCCAAGAAATGATTAGAAGGGTTTGTTTTCTGAAATAAACGGCAACTTTTGACTATTGGTCTGACATTCAAGTAGTCGATTGGCTAAGCACCATTGGTGGCTGATATCTTCAATCATTATATATAAGAGTCTTCTAAAAGCAAGGCATTGTTTTTACCGGGATCAAATCAAATTTTCAAGCCAGGGTTTTTGTCACTTAAATAACACGTCTCTGCTAGAGTTGCATCTTGGGTTGCCAGATGAAATTTAACTTTATCTCCATAGCCCTTGGTTGCAAAACGAAACAAAAATGTACTGGACATTATGATTGGCAAGCAAACTAAAATTTACTAGTGAATAGGAACATAGAAATTATCCACTCGAAAAGTGCACATCATCATTAAACATGCAATACAATTTGTGTAGATTAAATCATATTTAATTGTTTCAAATTGGATTATGTCTCATCCAATTTGACGAAATTCAACATCTAAGATGGTGATAAAAAAAATAGTATTCAAAAGTGGATTAGGGATTTCTTCATATATGCTAACTTCACTAACGGTATCAAGTTAAAACTTAATTTCAAATCTGATCATAATCTTATGATACTTGAGAACTATCTGTCCCATAACATAAAATCATCTTTCACAGTCAAATATTGTTAAAAATTTTATGTTGTAATGTATATACAGAGTAAATACAGTGACAAAATTAACATATGGCGTTCCACTGCTATCTAAAACAAATACTTGATTAAAGCTTAAAGGTTTAATTATTTTCTCTGCATTATGTATTCGACCTCGCATTCTTATATATTACGATATTAAGTTAGAGAAATAGTTTTTTTTTGTGGAGGCTGATTAGCCTCAGAGTCAACTTTGATGGATGAATAACACAAAGAAACTGACATCTTTTGATAGCCATACAGAGTCACTTCCTGGTAGCGTTAAGCAATCTTATAAGAACTGTATGTTCTATATTCATATAAAATTATAAGTCATAGATGTCCAAATACGAAAATTTATAGTTCAAGCCTTTTGAACCGGTTTTATGTATGGCACATTCCTGTCCAGTACTCCACTGTTCCTAGACAGGTGTTATAGCTATTTACTTATTATACCACTTATTGAATTTACGTCTGTTCATTATGAGCTAGATAAATTTCACAACCTTACATATTATTATATCTGCCTTGTGATTTTGAAGATTTGAATGGTTTTCAAGACAGCTTTTCAAATTAATTAAAGTTTCAATTTAGTATGTAGAAGACACATAATATATTTAATTCCAATCTCCGCTTATTATGAGTCATTATCAAAAATAAAATTTGAGCTTGGGTATTATTTTGTTCATTTTTTCATGGCCAACTAATTCTCAGGCATGGGATGATGACAATAAATTTTAGAAATATTTTTTTTTTTAAATTTTTTCTTCCTCGGGTTATGAACTTGAATGTGTTCTGTCATTAATTTCACCACATCTGCATAGCTGTTAGTTGAGTTTCTTTTTGAACAATGAGAAATTTTAAACTACACATGTTTCATTAATTTTTAATAAAGGTGACATGCGAGGTAAATCAATGCCCTCTTTTGAAAGATGAAAAATGTATTTGGGCGATAATGGGCGATCTGCTTGATGCAAAATTGAATATTTTAAAAAGGATGTAATCACTTATCCAGATAATGCTTTTTTATGCAGCTTAGAATTCATTTAATTGGCTTTATTTTCGAAATATACTAGCATGAAATTTACCCTAATTAGTCGGGGAATAACGAGTAAAATTTCACCATGTTAAATAACCAACAATGCAAGCTCTGATTTATTCAACTATATAATATAAATGTCTCACGAGATGAGATTTGTGCAGTTTATGACATTTTCACAACAGAAAATTAAAAAATGTTTGAAAGAAATTTTGGGCATTTATTATGACAAAGTTTCGGATTTGTATATCTTTCATTATAATTTCCTTTTCCCCATTAGATAATATTCCTTTCAAATCTACACTGCTCAAGAAAAGTTATTTTAAAATCTGAATAAATATTTGCAACTTCTTATCAGTCATGTGAATCCAAACGTAACTTGTCTTCCAAACCAGATCATTAGGAAAGCCCCTAGCAACTCGTTTCGATATTCCTTGCTTCAGTGACTAACAAAAGCCTCCACAACTCAAGTCGTATGCGTTAAGCTTAATGTTTAAAATTATATTATTTTTTTAGTCCAGTGTGAACCGTGTTATGCACCTCAAGGTTTAGGGAACATTTTCTTGGATAAGGGGGGAACACTGTTGGAACACTGGGGAACACTGTATTTTACCCTTGTCTGATTTGATTAGATTGTAAATACAGCACTCTGTCATAGTTGATACAACTTTGTCACAAATCCAATTTCACATTATCGATTATTGCAATTGGATTGGAATATTACTTCCGATTTTCACTGATTCGGACGGCAACAGTCGCTTAAACCAAGTCAGCTGCATTCAATTTCTCACAATGTAGTCTCACAATTCATGCTAATTCAACATCTCTTCTAACATTTTAAGCTGTTTCTCACTTGTATTAGATAAATAAACTATTATTCATGTATCATATATCAAATTATTAGGTTTTAATGAGAATCTTGATTGGGCTTTATAGTAAGATAAACATCGCGTTAGCAGAAAATGATGTTTGTGTATGTTCCTATTCAAAATATGTAAAACTTTTTGATATAATTAGCCGACTTTGACTATTGTTCAACATTTGCCAATAATAGAAAAGAGAATTTCGTAGAATATCATTTTCATTTCACTATTGATGCATTGTGGATCATTTCTGAGTGGGATCAATAATAACAGTCTTTGACTTATGTGGCTAAAACGACTTGGGTTCATGAATTTAAATATAATAAAATTTCCACTACAGGCATTTGATAATGTACTAAAAATTTTATTTGCTTCTCAGTTGTCATATTGTTTGATCAGTCCATTCTTATTGTATTGCTATTAAGACACAATAAATTAACTCCATT